ATCTTAGAGGGAAATATATATATATGCATATATATTTTTTCATACATACATATATATATGAAAGTTCACATCACTCAACCTTTAACAACATGTTTGTGATATCCTAAAGAAGGTCTTAATGGTCCCTGCCAAAACAGAAAAATCTTCACACTTTTTCCTCCATGGCTACTTTTTTGGGAGCACTTTCAGCAGTTTTTCCTAACAAACAAGACAAAATACATTATTTTGGTTTTGCTTTGGGACAGGGGTTGGGGCTTGGGATGGAAACATCCCAAATATGGTGGTGGGAAGGTGTAATGGTGGTGGGATTCATTTTTTTTCATTTCATTTCATCATCCTGTTATTCGTCGATTGCCTCGAGCAGGCCCCAGTAACGTCTCTTTCATCCTAGCCCTGAGATTATATTCAAGGCTCTTTAGGAGAATGAGACCCATCATTGTTACTGGTATTTGGCATATTTGGTAGGCCACGGGGAGTTTGCCAGACTCTGCCCTGTGGGCAGGCTACATTCGATAGCCTGCAAGTTTGTCCAAAGTAGGAATGAGATAATAAGATGTCATAAAAAGATGTCCTGATAAGATGTCGCGCGGCCGCAAATGCGGTGGTGGGATTGGTGTTTGAATATTAAATGTAATCAAAGATTGCGAACTAATTATAAAATAAAATAAAATTAAAAAACAAAAAGGGGCTGGAGTGGTTATACAGTAGGGTAGGGCACTTGCCTTGCACGCGACCTACCCAGGTTCAATTCCTAGCATCCTATATGGTCCCCCAGCCAGGAGTGACCTCTGAGTGCAGAGCCAGTAGTAAATCCTGAGCGTCACCTCTTGTGAACCCAAAACAATAACAAAAGAAAAAAGAAAGAAAGAAAGAAAGAAAGAAAGAAAGAAAGAAAGACAGACATTAAGGGCTGGAGACAGTACAGAGGTGGGGCTAAGATACTGAGAGGCTGTGCATGCAGCCCCCCCCCCCCAGCACTTCAGATGTTCCCATGACCACCAAGAGTGACCTCTGAGCACCACTTTTTAGTCCCAAAACTAAAAACCAAATACCAACAACAACAAAACAAAAACACATAAGAATTTTAAAGAGCAGTATAATAGAATCATAAACAAAATTCAATACAAAGAACAATCTAAGTCGGGCCTTAGCAGTAAATTTTATATTGATTAATAATCAACCACTTTTAATGTGCCCAATACTATGAAGAACACCCTCTTCTTTCCACCTGTACTTTCATTCCTACAATAACTTCCTATCTCAGTCATCCTAATTCCACACCAGAACCAGAGTAGTAACTCAAAGTTTACCAGGTGCCAATTTTGTCAGACACAGCCACGGTCCTCAGGGTCTCAGTGTGACCCAAGAGAAAGAACTTAAAAAAAAGCATAGTTATAAGTGCTGGAGCAATAGTACAGTGGATAGGGTGCTTGCCTTGCATGTGACCAACTTGAGTTTGATCTCAGCACTCCATATGGTCCCCCAAGCACAACCAGGAGTGATCCCTGAGCACAGAGCCAGAAGTAAGTCCTGAGGAGCACCAGGTTTCCTACCCCCCCTTCAAAAAAATAAATAAACAAACAGCCATAAGGCTGACAATTTGACTTCTAAGAATGTGATCTAAACCGCTTTTAAAATAGACTAAAGGCACGCCCACAAAATGCCTCTGGCCCATATAAGCTCATTAACTGCCATGATCCAGAGACTCACAAATAAATCTGGGGAAGAAACAAGCTGCGGACATGCCTCTGGACCCCAAGTCACCACCCAGTTAAAAACTTAACTCCAGATGTATCTCCCTATTTAAAATTATAGAAATTATAAAATTTCTAAAGGAAGACATCTCATACTCTGTGTATGGGTCACACCCGGCGATGCACAGGGGTTACTGATACACTGATACACCGGGAGTATCATACCACATTGGATAGGGTGTAAAGTAAAAGGCAACTGACCTCAAAAAAAAAAAAACACACACACACAAAAACCACTGGGGCTAGAGTGATAGCACAGTGGGTAGGGCGTGTGCCTTGCATGCGGCCGACCGGGGTTCGATTCCCAGCATCCCATATGGTCCCCTGAGCACCGCCAGAATAATTCCTGAGTGCATGAGCCAGGAGTAACCCCTGTGCATCGCCGGGGGTGAGACCCCAAAAGCAGGGAAAACAACAACAACAACAACAACAACAACAACAACAAAAACTGTACATATTAGCATACAAGGCTTAACCTGTAGCATGTTAGCAAATCTCTTTATACAATGGCTAAATGGCTCCAGGCTGAGATACAACAATCTTCACACACTTTCTTCAAAGAAAACCTTGATCATTTTTAGCAGATTACTCATAATAAGCAATACAAAATAAATTATTTAGGACCTATTATTGTGGTAGGTTGGGGTGGTAGTGGGGAAAATTAGAAATACTGGTGGTGGGAAGGTGTAATGGTGCTGGGATTGGTGCTGAAATACTGAATAACAAACTGTTCTGAACAACTTTATAAAAGTAAAACAAAACTTAATAAAATAGACTAAAGATAGCTAATTATAAATAACTACATCACTTTATCCTATATGTTTTTAGAAAGGAATTTCTATGGCAGGTGATTCCTTCCAATAGTGGGCCTTTAGAACATCAAACATGTTATAAACAATGTTGCTTTAAATGAAAGCCTAAATAAAACTCAAACATTTTGTTTTTTGGGTGTGGGTTTTCTTTTTTGCTTGTTTGGGCGCCACACCTGACCGAACTCAGAGTTTACAAGCCTGGCTCTGTGCTCAGGGGTTACTCCTGGCGGAAACAGGGTACCACTCAGAATGCTGGGATCAAACCTGGGCCACATGCAAGGGAAGCACCTTACCAACCCTGTTGTACTATCTCCCAGGCCCACAATTTCATCACCTTCTTAGAAGTAAAATAAACGATGACTTATGCTTATTTTAGAAGCATAGCTTTCCTCTGCTAAGTTAAAGAAATCAGTTAAGCTGATTTTATATCAATTTGATAAACTCAAACATGTATATAAAGTACACTTCGTAAAACACACTGTTACTATTAAACGACACTTACACTTGCTGTTCAGAACTCTCAGACAGTTCCCAGGTCAAGCCAAAATGAAATCCTCATAAAGGACAAAAAGGTCCTGGTTGTTCTTGTTCCCCATATCCTTCTTCCCTGACCTTATCTCCTACTACTCCCTCTTTGCTCAGTGCTCCAAGTACACTGATCTTGAAACTACTTCTCTAACAGGCCAGTATTGTCCTCTTCAGGGCTTTTGTTGTTGTTGTTGTTGTTGTTCCTTTCGTTTGGGAGAGCCACACTTGGAGATGCTCAGAATTTATTCCTGGCTCTGTGCTCAGATGTCACTCCTGGTGGTACTTCGGGGACCATACAAGATACTGGGGGATCAAACAGGGGTCAGCAGCATGGTTGAACCGCCTGAAAGAGAGGGCTTTTTCTATTACCACTTTTTTTCTTTTTCAGTCCTACTCTTCAAGGCCTTTCCTTTTCTCAAAAACTACAAACTCAAACTCACTCTCACTTTCTTCTAGTCTTAGTTAAAATATCTGCTTCTCCACAGGGCTGGACTGATAGTTCAGCACTTGCCTTGGACATGGCTGACTTGGGTTTGATCCCTGGCACCCCATATGGTCCTGAGCACCACTAGGTGTAATTCCTAAGTGCAGAGCAAGAACTAAACCCTGAACATGGCCGCGTATCGCCCCCAAAATAAAGAAAATTAAAATAACTATCAGCTTCTCCATAAATAATTCCGACTTCAAATTGCAAAAAATTCCCCAACATCTTTCCAGACTTGTTTGACCCTACAATACTAATCATCTACTACTGAGTATAAATTGTATGTTTGCTTTCAGTCCTTCTCCCCCAAATCATCCTCCCACTTTAAAGTTTGTTTCTTCAAGGCTCAAACCACAAAGCTGCAAAACCGCTAGGGAAAAGGCACACAGTAGGCATGGGTAAAAATAGGTGTTGAATGAATTAGCTGTAAATTAGACCACAGACTGCCCCTTCCAGGTTCAGGAAATCACAGGAGGTATTTTTTTTTCTTTTGGCTCATGCAGGAAACCTAGAAATTAATTTTTGTTTGGAACAAAAATTACCACTTACTTCCTAAAGGTCAGAACTCGGGCCGGCTCTTGAACAGTTACAATCGTTAAGATGCAACCTCCAGCCTGAGAGAGCGCGCAGCGGGGAAAGAACTTGCCTTGCACGTGCCTGACCCGGGTTCGATCCCCGGAACCCCGTATGGTTCCTCCAGCTCCACCGGGAGTGAGTCCTGAGTGCAGAGCCACGATTAGTATGCCCTGAGCCAGTACCGCCAGGTGATGCCCCCATAACAAAACAAAACAAAAAACAAACACGCAGCTGCTCTTTAGGGGCTCCGGGAATGTGCATAAGCACAGACTACTCAAACATCATGTCCCCAAAACCGTCAGAGGAAGCGCGGCACGAGCGGCCAGAGAGCGTGAGGCACGGGGGGCTTCGCTTGACCAAAGCGACCGCTCGGGGAGCTCCGAGCCCCCCAAACTCTCGGGAGGACGGCAGTTTCCGCATAAGGCACCGGCAACTCCGTATAAATTATTCACTCCCGCCGGCCGGGCTCCTAACTAGGCCGCAGAGGAGTCGGGCGACGCGGGCGAGCCCCGGGCTGAGCCCTCGCCGACCCAGGTCTTCCCACCGTGACAGCCCGAGCCCTCCTCCACGGGCTCCCGCGATGCCGGGGCCGCGCGGGTCCTCCCGGGGACTGTCCCTGCACGGCGGGAGCCGCCTCCGGAAAGCCGCCGCCGCCGCGGCCGGGGCGAGAGCGCGCCGAGAAGGCGAGAAGGGCGGGCGCCGGGGCGGGCGGCGCGCGGGGCAGCTCCGGGGCTCCGGGGCTCCGCCGACTCTTTGTTAGCACAGGCCGCGGCTCCCGGGCCCTCGCTAGGCCCCACCGCCGCTTCCCGCGGCTCCGACGCGTAGCGGCCCCGTATTCGGACTCACCTCGCCCAGTACCTGCTGCTGGAGCCGCAGCCGCAGCGACTCCCGCCGCCGCCGTCGAGGGAAGCCCACGGCCGAAGTACGCGCGGCCCAAGCCCCGTCCCGCCGCGCTCCTCCCTCTCCGCCCCCTTCGCCTTCGCCTTCGCCTTCGCCTTCGCCGCCGCCGCCGCCTCACAGCCCGTTGCTGACGGAGGGGGCGGGGGGAGGGGGGACGCACTCCTGACATGCGCGCTGAGGAGAGCGCGGGCCGAGGGGCGGGGCCCAGGGCTCCCGAGAGGCGCTGCGCGTTCCCACCCTTAAAGGCCCAGGACACCCGCACCTCACTCGGGACGCTGTGACAGGCGCCGCGGGAAGCTTTGGAGCCAGTCTAGGAAGTGGGTCTGGATGTGAAAGTTGTGGCAGTAGCAGGGGGCCACCCAAAAGCCCCGAGAAGAGGGCTTGGGGAGGGCAAGGCAGCCCTATTTGATTTAGATGGAATTATCTGGCCCTTCGCACACAGCCAGCCTTTCCATGCACGCGGCCAGCCCCGGGTTCGATGCTTCGCCCGAGCATCGCTCGGCAGGGAAGGGTTCCTGAGCGCAAGAGCCAGGAAGTGACCCCTGAGCCTCGCCGGGTGTGCCATTCCCGCCCTCTTTCCCCCCACCCCCCAAAAAATACCCAAACCAAAACAAACCGGCCCAGGGTAAGGGCACTGCGTGCCTCTGACCACGTGGTACCACAGAGCATGGTCACCTTTAGCTTCCGGAGACCTAGTCCGTGGCATGACAACGTGACTGAACCCTAGCGGAGAGGCCTGGGACGGGCCCCGGGAAGCCGTTCTGGCCCAGGGGTCGGAATTATGTAATTTTCCCATCAGCCCCTCCGGGCCTCGGAGGGGCGGGGGCGGGGGAAGAGGCGGGCCCGGGGGTGGCGTGCGCAGGCGCAGACGGGCCGCACGCATTCTACGTAACGGAGGGCGGCGGCCGTGCGGGAGGCGCGGCGTGACCGTGCGCTACCGGCTCGGCTGGTGCCCAGGAGGCGGGCGGCGCTGTGCAGCGGCGGCGACCGTGCGGGCGGTGGCCGGGCCGCGAGGCAGTAGCCATAGAGCCGGAGGCCGCAGGACAGCCTCCGGGACAGGTATGGAGCGCGCCGCGCCTCGGCTGGCGGCCAGGCCGAGCGGTCACTAGTTGCGTGGCCTAACTAACCCCGGCCATTCGAAAGTTCAGCCTCGGGAGGTGGGGTGGGGGTGACATGCATTGCTTTCCGAGCCTTCTCACTTTAAGCGACTTTAAAAAAATGTTTCAAACAACTTTCAGTGCCTGTTTTCTCTGCGGGGGTCGAGATGATTTTTTAACGGTCTTAGGCATCTCCTGGCAGAGCCGTATGAGCAACTTTCCGCAAGGGCAAAGTTCCAGCAATTTGGCGTGTGCCGCAGGGTGGGTGGGTGCAGACGTGCAGAGGAATCGGTTCGACCCCGATTCCCAGAGTCTATCACGGAGTGACAGCTTCTGGGGCCTCTCACGCGAGACAGGCTTGATCCACCGTGCACACGTTGACGCGAGAATGTCGATCTCCTGGCCTGGCCCTTGCCAGCAAGGGTTCACCTAAAATAGCAACAAGGAATGATTCCACCAACATTTTATTCCTCTTTACTTCCAAAGCTCTGACTCAAACCCTGGGAGACTGCTGGGTGAGCTCAAGGAATGGACCCAAACCCGCCTTATTGATGCTAGTGCTCGTCACCCATGGCGTCCTAGCACTTGAGCCGCCGAGCCCCCGCGGAGTTGGGCATTTGACAGGTGAAGTGACAGGTGCTGTAGAGGAACATTCAGGGGGAAGGGGAAGGCACAGATGGCTCGGCTGATTTTTTTTTTTAAACAACTTCAACCCCTTACAGTGCTGTTTTCTTTTTCTTTTTTTCTTTCTTTCTTTTTTTTTTTTTTTTTTTTTGGCATCACACCCAGCGATGCACAGGGTTTACTTTTGGCTCTGCACTCAGGAATTACACCTGACAGTGCTCAGGGGACTTTATGGGATGCTGGGAATCGAACCTGGGTCGACCACGTGCAAGGCAAACTCCCTACCTGCTGTGCTGTCACTCTAGCACCCGTGCTGAGTTTCCTTGGAAATGCTTTTCTGGGTTAAACATTCCAAGTGGGAGTTCAGTTTGGAATGATCAGACCTTTGACCTGCTTTTACTTGGGTAGATCCTGCCAGTGTTGCCCCTGATTTGCCGCTTTTTGAAAAATTGGGGGAAGTTGGGAGGGGATGAGATAAATGTTACCGTGCTTACCTCCCGTGCAGCCAACCCACGTTGGATCCCAGCACCACGTATGGTTCCCCAAACTCTGCTAGGAGTGAACCTTGAGCACAGAGCCAGGAGTAAGCCCTGAGCACCAGGTGTGGCGCAAAAATTAAAAAAGAAAAAACTTAGGATTCCTTGGGGTGGGGGGGGAGAGGAGGGTCACATCTAGAGGTACTCAGGGCTCATACCTGGCACTGTGCTCAAAGAACACTCCAGGTCAGCTTTCTGAAAAGAGAAAAGTGAAAACAACAACAAAATAAGTGTTCATGAAGCACAAAGTAAGGAAGTAATGGAAACTAATTTTCATTTAGTGCCTTCTATGTGTTGGCACAGACTCCAGAATACCCATTTCATTGCAGCCTTGCACATGGGATGACATTCCTTTTTTTTTTTCTTGTACATGGGAAATAGACTTTAAAAAATTGTAGGGAGGGTGGCTTATGCCACACCCAGTGGTGCTTGAGTTACTCCTGGTAGTGGTCTGTGTATTATGCCATATCCCAGGTTGAATCAGGGTCAGCTGCATACAAGGCAAAAAGCCTTATGCCCTGTATTTTCTCTCTGAACTCTTAAAAATTTGTCTGATTTTGGGCCACTTGGGGGCACTTTAGAGGAACCGGTGTGTGTGAGGGGGATTCGTGTGAGGGGGATTCGTGGGGAGTAGGAGCTCCTGTTGCTCAAGGGACCGGCTGTGGTGCTGGGGATCAATCCTGGCTTCCTGCTTGCACAGTGTGTTCTCTAGCCCTCTGAACTTTCCTAAAACAGGGACTTTTAAGTGAGTAGCCCAAGATCATATGGCTAGCAAATGGTAAAACTGGTATTTCTCAAATAGTTGGACCTCAGCAGGACAAACGCATTTCCTTTTGTATTCTACTTTTGGCTCTAATGAAAGATTACTAAAGAAGCTAGGGATGTTTGAAAACACATCACAGACCTGTGGCTGGTGTTGGGAAAGCAGCTATTTTCCCCTATAAAATGTCCCCAGTACTAATCTCAAAGAACAAAGATTGAACTGGGACCGTGGATAAGATGGTTGAAGCTCCAGGTTTGGTCCGCCACACCATGAGGCCCAACAGCTCCACCAGGAGATCCCCTGCTGTTCTGTCCCACCACTGGGCGTGGTCTCCACAACCAACAAAAAAGAGAAATTACTAGGTGCCTGATCATAGCATTTCCGAAAATAACATGAATTTCAGGGGGCCAAGCTGTAGTGTAGCAGGTAAGACACTTACCTTGCATGCAGCCAACCTGGATTTGAGCTCTAGCATCCCATATGTTAGCCAGAATCCAAAAAAGAATTTCTTTGTCTTCCATGTTTTCATATCATTTGGCAGAATTTGTGTCATAGATCTGATTTCCTTTTATTTGTCAGTTCAGCTACTTTAGAATCTAGAATGTCTACTGTTCTTTTAAGATGCTATGAAATGTATTTATACTCCAAACACTGCCAGGAGTGATCCTTGAGTGCAGAACCCTGAGCATTGTGGGGTGTGGCCCTAAAAACCCAAAGAATAATGTGGATTTCAAAATTTTTGAACTTTACAAAAGGTCCCGAGAATACTTATCAAGCTTTCACAGGTTGCATGATATTGGGCAATAGTAGCCTTTGATATTGCATGGATTGCTGCCACAATGCCACAATGTACAGTGCTATAAATATGAGGTAAATATTCACTATGCTAGAGCACTTGAGAGAGTACTTCATTTTGTCACCTGCTCCCACAATTAGTACTTCAGTCCCCTGCTTTCTGGCTCTCATGTTTACCATTTCCCGGTTGTTGCCAATGATTTCCTAAGGGCTGGAGTGATGGCACAGCGGGTAGGGCGTTTGCCTTGCATGCGACCAACCTGGGTTCAATTCCCAGCATCCCATATGGTCCCCCGAGCACCTCCGGGAGTAATTCCTGAGTGCATGAGCCAGGAGTAACCCCTGTGCATCGCTGGGTATTACACACACACACACACACACACACAATAATAATAATAATAATGATTTCCTAATTTCTATATGTCTGTCTTTGGTTTATATCTTACAAGTTCTATAGAACTCCCAAGACAGGTCTTTTTCTCTCTTAGAAATATGATTTGACTTTTTCCATTTTGACCAGTCTCTTCTGAGAGAAGGAATGGAAACCATCATTTCAGTCTTAGAAGTTTCTCATTGCAGTTCTTTCTGAACATAGAGATAATACAGGAGTTAAGGTGCTTGCTTTGCATGTGGCCAACTTCAGTTTCATCCCTGGCAGTAGGGACGGTCTCCCACACACTGACAGAAGAGATCCCTAGGCACAGAGCCCAAAGAAGGCCTGAGCACCACTCCTGAGTGTGGCTTATAACCCCCACCCCTTCCGCCCCGAAAAAGTGCTTTTTCAGGCCTCCACTTAGAGCCACTCCTCAAACTGTAGTGCCTCTTTTGGAATGCAGACTGTGCTTTTACTTTATTTTTTAAGTAATATTTTTATTTTTTTGCAGCACCAAATAAGGAAATTAGAAAAATATAAAGGAAAGGACCAATACTTACAATCCTACCACATTAAAAACTATAAACCTAGGTTTGACTTTTGAAAAAAATTTTAGTAACTTACTCTTCTGGAGACTATACTTAGCCATGCTGGGGGGTCCCAGGTCCATTCCATCTATGCCAGGGATCTGTCATGGTACTAGGGGGTTCATGTGTTTTGGGGATCTGACTAAAACTATCTACCCAAACCTATAACAGTATTTTATTTTAGGCCACACCTTGTAGTGGTGCTCAGAGCTTGCTTTTGTACACTGAGGGCTCACTCCTGGCAGTGTTCAGGAGACCATATGGGGTACCAAGGGTTGAATCCGGGACAGCCATATGCAAGACAAGCACCCTACCCACTGTCCTGGTCACAGCTAACTTAGGGCTTAAAGGCCTGAACTTTGCGTGCAGTGACCCAATTCTATCCCCCAGTACCGAACATTGCTATATGGTCCCCTGAGCATCCCTGAGAGTGGTGCCTGAGCACAGAGCCAGTAAAAACCACACACCAGTACTGCTGAGCTGCCAGAATCCATAGAATTTCTTTGTTTTCCATGTTTTCATATTTGGCAGATTTTGTGTCATAGATCTGAATTCCTTTTATTTGTCATTTCAGCCACTTTAGAATCTAGAATGCTTTAGAATCTAGAATGCCTACTGTTCTTTTCAGATGCTAGTATTTAATTCCGTCATGCAAACCAGGAATAGTTTGTGAGCGAATGATTAACTTTTGGGGGCTGGAGAGATAGTAGAGGGGCTCTTGCCTTGCACTCAGCTGACACAGGTTCTATCCCTGACACTACATATGACCATGTGCCCGAGTACTGCCAGGAGTAATTCGTAAGCACAGAACCAGGAGTAAGCCCTGAGCACTCCTGGATGTGGCCCAGAAACCAAAGAGAAGAAAAATTAATATAAAATTGCAACCACTGTCTGACATTTGAGGAGTGGCTTGCTAGATTTTCAGATCCCTGTGTCATTTGTTCATTTGTATTGCTTTAAATTGCTGTGCCTCCTTTTTCTTATCTTCAAAGTGGGGGTGTGAATAGTGCTTATTTCCTCAAAGAATCATCACAAGCTGCTTTCATAAAATCACCTGTACTGTTTTGCCTAGTGCTTGGTCTTTGAACATTTGCTTGTGTGGGATGATCAGGCTTATACCTGAGGGTGCATCAGTTATTTTTGTTACCACTAACTAAAAAATAAATTGCGTCTCTTTTTAGGGCAGGGCAAACCTCTCCTAGCAGTGCTGGGGAACCTGTGGTGTTACAGATCAGACCCTGGACTTCAGCCCATTGAGCAATCTCTTTTGCCCCATCCATAGTTGTGCATTTCTCATTTTCTGTATGAAGCTTTTTAAAGATATGCAAAATGCTTACTGAATGCTCATTGTAAATATAAAGAGGATTTTAAAAAAAAAACTGAAGAAATTAAATGGCTTGTTCAAGATTTTATATACAGAATTTAGATAAGGACTCCAGCTTTTTCACACTTTCCTCATTGTTCTTTATATAATGCTGTTTTCATTGAATAAGAGCAACAAAAACCAGAAGAGACATAGATTTAATTGGTTTAAGTAGAATAGCAATCTATTTTTCCCCCTTCTATTTTTAGGGTACAATGAAAGCCTTCCATGCTTTCTGTGTTGTGCTTCTGGTGTTGGCAAGGATCTCTGAAGCCAAGTTCGATGATTTCGAGGATGAGGATGACATTGTAGAGTATGATGATAATGACTTTGCTGAATTTGAGGATGTCACGGAAGATTCTGTCACTGAATCTCCTCAGAGGGTTATTACCACTGAAGATGATGAAGATGAGACTACTGTGGAGTTAGAAGGGCAGGATGAAAGCCAAGAAGGGGATTTTGAGGATACAGATATCCAAGTAAGTTTCTTTTTCAATTTATAGGGAAACAGGAAGAATGTTTTTTTTTTTGTTTTTTGTTTTTTGATTTTTTGCTTTTTGGGTCACACCTGGCGATGCACAGGGATTACTCCTGGCTCATGCACTCAGGAATTACTCCTGGTGATGCTCAGGGGACCATGTGGGATGCTGGGAATTGAACCCGGGTTGACCACATGCAAGGCAAATGCCCTACCTGCTGTGCTATCACTCCAGCCCCAAGAATGGGAAATTATTGTTTGTTTGTTTGGGGCCACATCTGGCAGCGCTCAGGATATACTCCTGGCTCTGCACTCAGAAGTCACTCCTTAACCAGGCTCTGGGGACTATCTGGGGTGCTGAAGATTGAACCCAGGCAGCTATGTGCAAGACAAGTGCCATACCCACTGTACTCCAGCCCAACAATGGGAACTTCTCTAACTAGCACTTTTCACTGACATTGAAAAACCCAGGAAACCGTTACTCTAGAGTCTTGATTTTCATTTAGTAGATGGAACTTTTCTCAGTGTTCTGTGTTATATTCTGATTTTTCACATATAGGGAGAATGAGTTGTATTTTTCACATCTGTGAAAGTCTGACTGGGGAGAGGGGTAGAGAATAGGTGCTTTAGTGTGGGTGTGTTCTATACTAAGTGCTCACATATATTGTTTTCCCCCAACAAATGCTGCCTGCAAAAATGAGACAGAATTGCTGGAGACATTTGTAGGGGAAAACAGGTTGTGCCTTATTTTTATAGGAGGGAGATACCGAGAGTGAGCCCTACGATGATGAAGAATTTGAAGGTTATGAAGACAAACCAGATACTTCTTCTAGCAAAAATAAAGACCCAATCACAATTGTTGATGTAGGTATACAGAATTCTGTTTTTTTCTTTCTAGTCCCAATTTATTTATCAGTGTATGAAGGGGCTAGGCCTAACATTGGATTTATTTTACAGTGGGACTCAAAATTACGTGTAATAGAAAGGTCTTTACAGCTTTTTACCCCACTTGATTGTCCCAGCGTATTTTCTTAAAATAATCTTACAAAGATGACTTATAAAACCAAAGTGGTTGTGTTTTTGTCCTCGAAGAATAAGTGTTCAATATGTCTATTGTCTATTATACCTACAGTATCTATTTCTGTTTATGGATCTTCTTATCATTCATTTGCCTTAGCCAACATTAAATGACATGATCTTTTCTTTTAGGTACCTGCACACCTCCAAAACAGCTGGGAAAGTTATTATTTGGAAATTTTGATGGTGACCGGACTGCTTGCCTACATCATGAATTATATCATCGGGAAGAATAAAAATAGTCGCCTCGCTCAGGCCTGGTTTAACACACACAGAGAGCTTTTGGAGAGCAATTTTACCTTAGTAGGTAAGTTAGGCTAAGACTGACACAACTGCCTGCCTGAAAAAAGTCGGGTGCAAACTGTTTATTATTCTTAGGATAAGAGCGATAGCACAGCGGTAAGGCGTTTGCCTTACAAGCGGCCAACATGGCCGACCCGAGTTCGTACCTGAGTTCGATTCCTCTGCCCCTCTCGGAGAGCCCGGCAAGCTACCGAGAGTGTCTCGCCCACATGGCAGAGCCTGGCAAGCTACCCGTGACGTACTCGATATGCCAAACACAGTAACAAGTCTCATGGTGGAGACGTTACTGGGCCCACTCGAGCAAATCGATGAACAGCGGGAAGACCGTGACCTTCTGAAGCACCTGACTGCTTTGTGGACTGCTGAAAAGTGTGCTTTTTCTTTCAAAGATCCCATTTCTGTAGACTTTATATACTGAATAAATTGCATCTATAAAATAAATGCTATCTGTAACAGCATTTTTTTTGGTTATAGTTTATATATTTTACATTTTACTCTCTATATTTTTAATGGAGATAATGAAGAGTTTTAAAAGGAATGATGCTCAACTGATTTCATACCTGTCCAAAGAAATCTACTGACAATGTAATTCCTCATCTTTTATTATTCACAGCAGCTACTAAATAGCTATTGATTAGAATTAGTGTTGTCAAAACAAGTTAATTATAAAGTCTCAACTGAATTCAAAGACTTTTAGTATTTTAGTTTTTAGTTCATTCTATAGAGTGAACTCAGTTGGCTTCTTTCTATTTTCTGGGTACTTTGTTTCAGATCCATGGAGAACCTCCTGTGGTCTGAGGGATGAGGGCTGGGGTAGAGCTGAACTCCCTACATTCCTCCCAGTTTGGTTTTAGTACTTTATTTCTCATCCGTGTTGGTGGGGACAGAAAAGGGAGTGCTTTGGACCCCCCCCCAAGCATGCTCAGAAGCTGCTCCTGGGTCTGTGCTCGGGAGTGACCCTGGTCCCAGGGATTCAAAGTGGGGTTGACTACGTGCAGGGTGTCTTAACCCCTATATTGTATCTCCTGCCCCTCCTTGTTTTCTCTTTCATGTCGGTTCTCACAAATTCCATATTATGCTAGGAACTTGGCAAACGCGGTTTCTTTTCTTAGTAATTTGGCCATACCCTACTGTGCCTGGAGCTTACTCCTGGCTCTGTACTCAGGGATTCTCACTCCTGCCAGAGCTCAGGGTGACCATATGTGGTGCCCAGGATTGAACCAAGTTTGCAGTTCCTTACTGCCTATACTATCTATCTGGCCAGCATATGCTGTTTCGCTGTTTCTTATTTATTGTCCATAACAGCATTATTTTTTGGTTATAGTTTTTGTGTCTCTCTCATGTATATGTGTGTGTGTGTGTGTGTGTGTGTGTGTGTGTGTGTGTATTCACACCCAGCGATGCACAGGGGTTACTCCTGGCTCTATTCAGGAATTACTCTTGGCATTGGTTGGGGGATCATATGCGATGCTGGGGATCAAACCTGGGTCAGCCATATGCAAGGCAAATACCCTACCCATGTACTATGGCTCCAGCCCCTCTATATATTTTTAATGGAGACAGTAAAAAAGTTTTAAAAGGAATGATGCTCCTCTGATTTAATACCTGTCCAAAGAAATTCTACTAAATAACAAAGTAATGCTACCAGGAAGTTATGATTATTTGAGGGTCAGTGTGGTGATGAGGCCTCTAACCTTTTTAGTGACACGTGCTCTTTATTACTCCTAGGGGATGATGGAACTAACAAAGAAGCCACGAGCACAGGAAAGCTGAACCAGGAGAATGAGCATATCTATAACCTCTGGTGTTCTGGTCGGGTGTGCTGTGAGGGGATGCTTATCCAGCTGAGGGTAAGGCGGAGTTTCAGGTCCTTCGGTTTTCCCACCGATGAATCCAAACCCCTTGAGTTCCTGGTCTCAATCCTACATTAGGTTTGATGAGGGACAAGGTGTGGGCTGAGCCTGCAGCTCAGTGGTAGAGGGAGAGTGCGTTCACATGTGCGAGGCTCTGGGTTCAAGCCCTGGCACGGAAAAAAAGGATGTTAAAAACCTCTCTGCCAATTAGCAAGTGGAAGATATATTTAATAGAATATGTATTTACTCTTCCAAGATCTTTCATTGTCAGTAAAAATTTCCACTCTGTTTATTTCAGTTCCTCAAGAGACAGGACTTACTGAATGTCTTGGCCAGGATGATGAGGCCAGTTAGTGATCAAGTGGTATGTATCCTTTCTGTTTTCTCTGTACAGATAGAATTTGCAGTTTCTTAGAACTTACCCAAAATCTCGCTTGGACTTGAATTTGGAGTCACTTGTGCCTTCCACCACCACCACCACCCCGCCTCCAATGAATGTGGACCTTTTCCTAATTGTTCAAACCATCTTCCACTCAGTGTACGACTGAGGGTGTGTTGGAAGGGAACATGTGTTTTCATTTCTTTGGTTTGGGGCCACACCTGACTGTGCTCAGGGCTTACCCCTGACTCTGGGCTCAGGGATCACTCCTGGTGGAGCTGAGAGCAATAGATGAGGGACCTTCTGCCATGCAACACAGTATATTCCTGGGAGTGATCATCCACTATATTCGGAGTTACACCTTCAGGGGGAAGGTAGTTAGAACAGAAGATTGCAGTCTTGGAAGCCACTTGTAGATACCTGCTTGTTATCGAATCTAATAAGTGAGATTTTGTTGTTGTTGTTTTTAAGCAAATAAAAGTAACCATGAATGATGAAGACATGGATACCTATGTGTTTGCTGTTGGTACACGAAAAGCTTTGGTCCGGCTACAGAAAGAGATGCAGGATTTGGTATGTTGTTCCAATTTATTTATGTGTAGAAACCATCTATTATATATTCAGCTATAGTCACTTTGGAATAGGTCCATGCATATGTTTCCAGGTGTGGGGGCAGAAAGTGTTTGAGCATTAAAAAAGGTCAAGTCTCACTTTCTGTTACCTTTTTTCTCTAGAGCGAGTTTTGTAGTGACAAACCTAAGTCTGGAGCCAAGTATGGACTGCCAGACTCCTTGGCCATCCTGTCAGAGATGGGAGAAGTGACAGAGGGAATGATGGACACTAAGGTAAAGCCACAGATGACTTGTATTTGCAGACTTTGGTGTTTATAAGTTGCTCTCCCTGAAAGTCACACTATTTCATTTTATGACATTGCACTTGTTAGGAATTCCTTTCCCAGACGGCATTCAAAATATCATCTTAAGCAATAAATTAACACGTCAAGAAGACAGTTGGATTAGTCAAGTTCTCTCACAATCAAGAGCAGTTTGTTCCCAATATTTCATGATTTGGGGGAAAGGAATATAATTTTAATCCTTAACACATGTGATTTGGGCTGGAGCAATAGCACAGCAGGTAGGGCATTTGCCTTGCAGGTGGCCAACATGGCTGACCCAAGTTCGATTCCTCTGCCCCTCTCGGAGAGCCCGGCAAGTTACCGAGAGTATCTCGCCCGCATGGCAAAAGCCTGGCAAGCTACCCGTGACATATTCGATATGCCAAACACAGTGACAATTGTCACAATGGAGATGTTACTGGGCCCACTTGAGCAAATCAATGAACAACGGGAGGACAGTGACAGTGACAACACATGTGATTTAGTGTTTAGTGCTCACCCCACCTTGGTTTTTTTGTTGTTGTTGTTTATTTGTTTTTTGCAATGTTGGGGCTCAAATTCAGGTCCTCAGATTTGAAGGGTAGGCACTATGTGGCTGAGCCAATCTTCGGCCTGTGATTTACTCCATTTTTTTTGAGCTCTAATGGAGGAGAAAAGGAATGTATTAAAGCCCCCCCCCCTTTACTTTTTGCTATTCATTATGGAATGGTAACAATACATACAACATAGTAAAGATGACTATGAGTGCAGAGTGATGGGTTTATAAAAAAAAATCTCCTTTCCAGGCCGGAAGATAGTACATTGGGTAGGGTGCCTACCTTGTATGTGGCCGAGCAGATTCGATCAATCTCTAGCACCTTATATGGTCTCCCGAGTGAGTGATCTTTGCCATGAGTGATCTTTGAGCACATAGCCAGGAATCAGCCCTGAGCACCACCAGATGTGACCCAAAAAACAAATCAAAAATGAATTATAAAGCCCTTTGTGGACTGGAGTAATAGTACAGCAGATAGGGTGCTTACCTTGCTCATGGCTGACTAGGTTCCATCCCCAGCATCCAATACAGTCCCCGGAGCACTGTCAGGATTAATTCCTGAGTGCAGAGCCAGGAGTTGCCCCTGAGCATTGCTGGGAATGGCCCAAAAACTAAAACAAAAAAATCCCCTTTGTGCTTTCCTTTCTGTTTGAACATTAATTTGAAACCTAGTTTCACCTGCTCAATCAGAAATTTAATCAGATGCCAGGGATGTAGCTCAGTGGCAGAGCACTTGCTTTGCATGCATAGATTGGATGTTATCCTCGAAACTGCTAAAAAGAAAAATAGAGTGGGGAAGGATTAAAAAAAAAAAAAGTAATCGTTGATGTGACTTAAGAAAAATACTTGTTTCATTGTATAATGGCTTTGGTTGTTTTCCAAAGACATTGTGCAAAAATAAGGACAGCTGAAGCATGATATCATTTGGCTTTTTGTTTTGGGTTCATACCTTGTGGTGCTATGGGGCTGCTCCTCGAGCTTCCTTTCTTGGGTTCGTCCCTGACAGTGTTCGAACGGGTGCCAGAGATCAAACCCAGATCTGCATGTCACGCCAGTCTCTGAGCTCCTTCCCCAGCTCTCAAAGGGTGAATTTTCTTTTCTTTTTTTTTTTTTCTTTTTCAATAGCAGAATTGAGTAGAGTGGAGTGAGGCAGGGAAAGGAGCAGAGCAGAGACACCCAGAAAGTGCAGGGCTCCCAGTGGTTGGTTCAGAAGACCAAGAAGGTGTGAAGCCACTGCCATCTGGGTTGAGTGGCTTTTCAGACACCCTGTCTTTTAACTGACCAGCAGTAAATTGGTAAGCCCCATTTCCTAGAGATGCGGATCTTCAGATGGTAGAGAACTCGGGTTGGCCTGCCACAGAGCCTCCATCACATCTCCTTTTACCCAGCGGTCGATATGGATCGGTGGGCATAATGACTCGTCCCATGTGGACCCTGGCCACTGTGACCGTGCCTTTCCATAGGCACCCTGCACACTTGTTTCCTGGCGACAGCATGAGAGTAGTTAGCCATGTCCACTAAAAGGATGATCTCAAGGTCCCTTAAGGCAGCCTTCACAAACAACAGTTTCGCACACTGCCACAAGACTGCTCTTTGGAGCTGTTGCACATCGGACCCAGAGAGGTAGAGGAAGCGCAGTTGGCTTACTTGAGAAATGCACTGGGCCAGAGTCATAGAACTAGCAAGGATTAAGGTGCTTGCTTTGCATACAGGTAACCATCACCACTGGGCCAGAGCATCCCCTCCCCAGGCACCACTGGGTGTGACCCAATCCCCCCAACACACCCCAACAAAGGCATCAAGTTCCACTTAAAAATAATCTTTTCTTCTTTGTTTCAGATGGTTCACTTTCTAACACACTATGCTGACAGGATTGAATCCGTTCACTTTTCAGACCAGTTCTCTGGTCCAAAAATTATGCAAGAGTACGTATGAGATAAAGTCATGAAATTCATTTTCCTCACTGGCTTTTTGTGTTTAGACACCCAAGTAACGTTTTTGCAGTTTCCTTGCCAAACAAATGAGGGAAGTTGATGATAGGCATGCAGCTTGCCCCTTGCTTGCTTTACTGCATGTGGGAACGGTGGGCTTGGAGACAAATAAGCCTTTCCAGTTGGCCTGTGTCATGGCTTCCACTCAGTGTTCTCTCAGTGACAGGGATGACACTGAGTGGCTGGTGCTGAGAAAATACTTTTAATCTTTTTTCTGTTTTTCAGTTTATGGTATCTAATGTTTGAATTCTGTTGGATTTCAAATTGTTTTCTTGATCCATGGATCTTTTTAACTTTCTGAGAATATGCCCTCCATGCCCATGGAATGTCTGCCTTCATGATACTATTGCTCTAATATACATATTAAGTGTTTGAATGTGTTGTTTGCCTTTACACCCCTGTTCAGGAAAACATGCTTGGTTAAGTTCTCCCTTTAGTGTTGAACTGGTTCTGATCAAAGCTTTTAGTTACAGGTAAACTCGCATAAGCAGCAGAGTTGTAAAAACCAATCATTTTAATTATGTGTCATAATGACTCAAGTCCTTCTGCCTTTCATTAATCTGGATAGGCCTTGCAAGGGGGTTGTATGTGTATCACATTGTAGCATTCCTTGAGCCTTGGGAAGAAAATAGGAGCTAGGAGCTAATAATTTCAGAAAAGTTATGTTTGGTGATAAAAGGGACTAAATTATGATATAGTAGATTCTTTCTAAATTTAAACTAGAGTCAAAGATTCTTCATTATAGAAGATAGAAATAGGAAGCTAAACTTAAAGATACATCAGGATAAGCAGTAATGTTATTTAGAATATGGGCCTTATGCTTAAACATAGGCTCATTTCTGGCTCCCAGGTGAGATGGAATATGTCCTCTCTGGAGCGAACCACTCTGGAAGTTCAGGTAGAGGATTAAGATCCCTTGGTGATTAGATGAGTGAACCAGATGGCCTTTGAGGTCCCCTCAGGTCCTAAGATTATATTTGAAGTGTAGAGGATAAGCCAGAAATTATTATTTGCGAGTGTCTAAGAGAACTGAGCTACTTACATGCCTGGAAAATATCTTTCTTGTATTCCTTCTAAATAGACTTTTCTTTTATGACAGGGAAGGCCAGCCTTTAAAGCTACCTGAAACTAAGAGAACACTACTGTTTACATTTAATGGTAATTGTCTGAGTCCTGTGTGGGTTGCCCATTTTCTGTGAGATGGTCTTTCTGGGTTCGTTTGTTTGCTTGTGTGGTCTCCCCAAAAGTGCTAGGAGCTACCCAGTCATGCTCAGGAGACCCTGCTCTGCCAAGGATCAAGCTCGGGCCCACCCCATGTGGCCCCTTCTCTCCAGTCCTCTGCTCAATCCCCCGGCCCCATTTCTGAGAAATATATCTTATTTTGTTTCTGTTTTTCGGCAACACCCAGCAGTGCTCAGGGAAGAGGTCTTTTTTTTTTTTTTGGTGGGGGGCAAACTTGGAGGTGCTCAGGGTATAGTCCTGGTGCTGTGCTCAGGGATCATTCCTGGTGGGGTTCAGGGGACCTAAGTGGTAACAGGGACCCTATCTGGGTCACCCATGTGCACAGCAAGCCCCTCGCTTATCTCTTTCCAGCCCTAAATTTCCTGCTACATTTTAATGGTCTAAGAAACCTGAAAAGAGGATTGTAGTAATACTACTAAAACAGAGAGTTGATGATGCAGGAGTAACTCATTAGGAAAATTACTTTGTTTTTCAGTTCCTGGCTCAGGAAACACTTACCCAAAGGATATGGAAGCTTTGCTACCCCTGATGAACATGGTGATCTATTCTATTGATAAAGCCAAAAAGTTCCGACTCAACAGAGAAGTAAGACCTGCAACCATGATTATAAGTTGTCACCTATTGTTGTTCATGGGTGGGGGTGTCAGCTATCTATGAGTTCAGTTGAGCTGGTTGACTCTGAAATGCTAACTAGAGGCCAAGATGTTGCTCATAGGTAGAGCACATGTCTTGTATGTGGGTTTAATGTCCTGCATAGCCCCAGAGAAAAGAAAATGCTTAGAGAATAGTTTTATGAACAATATTGAGTGACTTCTACTGGGATAGCATTTTTTTTTAAAAAAAAAACAAATGCTTTGTTTCTTGGGGAAAGGGCAAACAGAAGGCTGACAAGAACCGTGCCCGAGTAGAAGAGAACTTCTTGAAGCTGACGCATGTGCAAAGACAGGAAGCTGCACAGTCCCGGCGAGAGGAAAAGAAAAGAGCAGAGAAGGAGCGAATCATGAATGAGGAAGATCCTGAGAAACAGCGCAGGCTGGAGGTAAGAGACACTTTTCTTATTGTCGAGGTAAAACTCAGGCAAGGAAGCCCATTAATGCAGTAGAAGTTAAGTCTGCTCTGCAGGCATGTTCATAAGCTAAAAGTTTAGCCTTTTCTCTGCCCTTGAGACCGAGACTGTTAGTTGTGAACACTGAAGAAGCATCTTTCCAGTTAGAATGAAATCAATTCTCCTGTTCCCCCAAAACAATCCCATTTTGAAGGTTTTACTGTCAGTTTTTAAAACCAAACACTGAGGCAGAAAGGAATTAGAAAGAAATTTTATTTGTCTTTGTTTGAGTTTCAGGGCACAGCTGTCTGTGCCAGGGGAATGTTCTCAGCTCTGTGCTCAGGGGTCATTTCCAAGAATGCTTGGAGGACTGTGTGGTACTGTAGATCCAAGCCTCCCACATGCCAGACTGTCTCTCTCTGTCTCTGTCTCTGTCTTCCCTCTCCCTCCCCTCCCCTCCCCTCCCTTCTTTCTTCCCTCTCTTTTAGTTTTCTTTCAGAATTGTTTGCTTCTCTTTAGGGTTTGAAACTACAGTAGTTTTGAGGGGATGGAGGTGGCCCCTTCCATGATTCTCAGCTAGGCAGCAGGCAGCTTATTGCAAGGACCTGAGGATGTGGTGCTGCCTGGGCCCTGCAGTGCCAGGGATTATCTGGGCTACCCTGGTGGTACTCGGTGGCCTTTGGGGCCTCCAGGGCTGTAACTGGTGATGCTCATCAGGGGTGAGGGATCCAGGACGGAACACCCATGTGATGTCAGGAGGCAACTGAAACAAGTTTTCTTAAGATGTGACCATTAATGACCAACAGTAAAATCCTACTTTAATTTGTCCTCTTAAGATTTCCCTTAGAAAGACTATCATATCCATTGATATTTGTTACTAATCTATTTTAAGTATCTTTCTTTTCTATAATTTCCTAATTCCTAAATAAATGTCTTTGGTAATAGGAGAATTAACAGTTCAATAACCTGATTTAATGAGCATTTGATAATTTTGGATTTTTTTTTAAAGCTAAAATAGAAATTCTGGCTGAAAGCACAGCAGGTAGGGCGCTTGCTTTGCATGCAGCTGACCTGGTTGGATCCTCGGTACCCATATGGTCCCTGGACCACTGCCAGAGTGAGTTTTGAATGCAGAGCAAAGACAAAAGTTGTTGAGCTATTTCCTCTTGGGTACAGTTAAGAGGAAAAAAAGCAGAATAACAAAGGCCGACTTGGCCGACCCGAGTTCGATTCCTACCCCCCTTTCAGAGAACCTGGCAAGCTACCGAGAGTATCTCTCCTGCACAGCAAAGCCTGGCAAGCTACCCATGACGTATTTGATATGCCAAACACAGTAACAACAAAGTCTCACAATGGAGACGTTACTGGGCTTGCTCTAGCAAATGGATGAACAATGAGAGGACAGTGCTACAGTGCTAATATATTATTTTTTTTAACTTGAGATTTTTCATTACATTTGCTTCATTTCAAGTTACTTTTTATTCACTAACAGATTTTTTTTTTTAATTTATTTATTGAATCACTGTGGGAAAGGTTACAAAGCTTTCAGGTTTATGTCTCAGTCATGCAAATATCAAACACATTTCCCTTTACCAATACTTATTTTTTACCATGAAGAACCCCAATAAAACCCCACCCCCCCACCCCTCCCCGTCCCTGTGAGGCAGATGAATTCTAGTTAACACTCTATCTGCTTTGATTAGATTCATTGTTTCAATAAAAGATTCACCACTATTATTTAGAGTTTACCCCCCCCCCCAAATAAGACATGCTGAAAAAGCATTGTGAAGTGATTTGCTTTCTACAGCTGGGTTCAAGAATTAAATGTTGGTTTTGGATTTCTGCTATTTTACCTATTGACCCTGGAGGTATTTCTACTGAAAGTCAGATAGTTAAGAAATTGGTTTCTGTGTTCTGGAGTCGTGGCCGTGCTGGAGAGCCGCTCGCGGGGGGCAACCGGTGGCCTCGGTAGGGCGTGAAGGGCGGAGCGAAACGCCCCCCTTCCCATGAGGTTTTAGTCGCCCCCACACTCCCGGCTCATACCTGCTGTCCACAAGGCTCCCATGTGGCCGCCATCTTTCTTTCCAGAGAGGAGAGGGCGAATGGGGCAACACCCTTTCCCCTCCGGCAGACTTGATGGGCTGGATCAACGCATAGTCCGTTCACTTTTCTGCTCCAAGCTGCTGGGTTCTGCATTAAGTCCTTGTGCTTCTGGGGCCATGGCCGTGCTGGAGAGCCGCTCACGGGGGGCGACTGGTGACCTCGGTAGGGCGTGAAGGACGGACCGGAACGCTCCCTGACCCATGAGGTTTTAGTTGCCCCCACTCCCCCGGCTCATACCTGCTGTCCACAAGGCTCCCATGTGGCCGCCATCTTTCTTTCCAGAGGGAGGAGGGCGGAAGGGAGCAACACCCTTTCCCCTCTGGGCAGAAATGATTGCCTGGATTAATGCGTAGTCCTTTCACTTTTCTGCTCCAAGCTGCTGGGTTCTGCATTAGGTCATTGTGCTTCTGGGGCTGTGGCCGTGCTGGAGAGCCGCTCGTGGGGGCGACTGGTGGCCTCAGTAGGGCATGAAGGGCGGTCCGAAACGCCCCCATTCCCATGAGGTTTTAGTCGCCCCCACACTCCCGGCTCATACCTGCTGTCCACAAGGCTCCCATGTGGCCGCCATCTTTCTTTCCAGAGAGGAGAGGGCGAATGGGGCAACACTAACAGATTTTAACAATTATTTTTGTAACTGTCTTCTGGAGTGTTATTTATGGTACAGGCATAGTGTTTTTTTTTTTAATTATATTGATTATATTCTAGTTAAATTTTTAAAAATATGTGCTTAGAACTTAGTTTGGATTCTTTCTCTCTAGGAAGCTGCCTTGAGACGTGAACAAAAGAAATTGGAGAAGAAGCAAATGAAGATGAAACAAATCAAAGTGAAAGCCATGTGAAGATCATCCCAGAGAGCTGAGTTCTATAAGCTCTGAACTGACAGGAAACATAAAAAGTTCAAATCCATTTCTCTTCTTAAAGTTCAGACACTCCTGGTGATTGAGATACTTGTATTTTATCATCTATTTGCTTTTGGTTTGGAGTTACGTAAAGTTTATAGGTAGTGATGGAAGGACTATTTCAGTAATTTTCTTCCAGATAATCAAATTATTTTGATTATTTTATAAGAGAAATTATATATGAAATCTGTGTAATTTTAAAATATTTTTAAAGTTATGAATCATCTGTGCTTTTAGTGCTTTGATGTTTGAAGAAATATTATGAAATTTATAGATAAAGATTGTTGCTTTTTATTTAAACTAGGCAGTTGAAATGGCTGTGGACAGACCTCTAAACCACAATTCCACCAGTAACTATTGGAATTGCACAATAAATATTACTTGGTGTTTTCTTTTTTGTCTACATTAAACTTGTAAAAAAAAAGTAAAATTTAGAACACTATATGTGGTATTGAAATTTCAGGGATTTAAGACAGTGTAGTTCAGTATGTTTTGTAGATGGGAGGTGCTGATGACAGTGTTATAGAATATCCATAGGCTTTAGGATACTTATGTGTATGTGGAAAATTCTAGGGGTAGGTGGTATATGTGAACAGTTTTCTCCTTACCTGATACCACGAGCTATTGACAGTATAAATGCTGTAGTTTTTAAGTGGTTGTACATTTTTTCTTGAGTAAAAAATGCATGAAAAATTCTCTACTTCCCCAGGGTCAGGGCAGTGGTCTGTGCGGTCAGCAATGTGTCCCTTGGTTGCTGCAGCCTATTGCTGTTTGTGGCAAAGCTCTGTCGTCTGTGTGATGGCTGTGTCCCTTTGCTTCTCCCGCTTTTCTGTCTTCCACAGTTGAGGCTGGGTGTATTCTTTCAAAGAAATAGCCATGAACATGCATAAATATACTTTTTAAAAATGAGCTTCCCCAGACTACCAAGAGTTCTCTCTACCTCCTGCGGAAGGAAGGAGCTCTTATGGGAGAGGCCCATCTCTCTGCTCAAGCATTTAGCTTGCTCAGATCTCTGCATTTTATAAATGCTTCCTACTAAGAAAGCATTTTTTAAGTCAGTGCTTGTACCAGGTAATTTTTTGCTGGGAGTGGGAAGGAGCTGGGTTTTCCTGTTGGGGGGGGAGGGGGGTATTTTTGTTGATGCTTTACGTGCAGGTGTGTTTTGAGGCAATAACAAGTTGCTGTGAAAACAGCCCATGTGGCTGCCTTTGTAACTGCATGGAACTTTTCACATGGGCTTTTCTCTAGGTTAATGCAGAAATCTGTAAGCTGGGAAATGCAAATATAATATTTTTTTAACAGTTCATAAAATTAAGTTATTAAAATAACAGAAATAAAATTTAATTACTTTAATGCTATATAATTCTAGAATTAGCTTTGTTTTACAAATCTTTAAAATACATTTTAGAGATCAAAGTTGATATGCCTAGCTCTCTTTTGATTATTAAAAGCTTTCTTAAAATCCCACACATTTGGACCATGGCAGCTAATTTTGTAATTAAGCATTCATATGAACTACCTATGGACATATATATTAAATTAATTGACAAAAGTCTCAAGAGTGCCGCCTTTACTTTTCTGGGGTTGTTCTGTAGGAGTATTCATTCTACTCTATAAAAATTAGCACTTAGGGGCTGGAGCAATAGCACAGCGGGTAAGGCGTTTGCCTTGCATGTGGCCGACCTGGGGTTCGATCCCCAGCATCCCATATGGTCTCCCAAGCACCGCCAGGAGTAATTCCTAAGTGCAGAGCCAGGAGTAACCTCTGAGCATTGCTGGTTGTGACCCAAAAAGAAAAAAAAATTAGCCCTGAAATGCTTTCCATAGAGTTGGCCTTGAATATATTTTCTTAGTTGTTTACCTGTTACCATTTCTAGAGTGGTCTGCATTTTCAAAGCTTTAATATTATGAATGGGCTCTCCCCAAAGATACCCTATTTGAGTTTAGTACCATTATCATTCCTTGAAGAAGAGAAGAATGTTGACACATTGGGCAAGTGCTAAGCTCTCCTTTCTTGTCTGTATTACTTGGGTACTCAGAGATGCTGAAACCAGTGCTGTATTAGAAAATTTCATTTTGAGTGTCAGCTAAACAAAACCAGTTACTAAAATCCTTTGGCTTTGGGCATGTCACTAACCTCTTGTATTCTCTCTTTTGTTTCTCCTTATACAAAGTACATATAGTAATTATTTTCATTTCCCTTCAGACCTCACAAAGTAGGTTAACACTATGAGATAATAAACATAAAGCTGTAAACTATAGCACTTTAAAAATGTAAATCCTGGGGGCTGGAGCAATAGCACAGTGGGTAGGGCATTTGCCTTGCATTCAGCCAACATGGCCGACCTGGGTTCGATTCCCAGCATCCCATATGGTCCTCCAAGCACCGCCAGGAGTAATTCCTGAGTGCATGAGCCAGGGGTAACCCCTGAGCATCGCCAGGTGTGACCCAAAAAGCAAAAAATAAAAAATAAAATAAAAATGTAAATGCTTACAAAGCAAGCACCATATATTGTCAGTCCCCAGCACCAGATATGGTCCTCTAAACCCTGCCAGGAGTGATCCCTGAGTACCACCTGGTGTGGCTGTTTAAAAAAAAAAAAGAAAAGAGGGTCTGTAGAGGGAGTCAGACCTTTAAGAGTGACTTCTTTTACATAATGCTAAAATAGAATAGCCAAAAATAACTCAGTTTCTGAAGTCAGTGATAAACAGATTTATTTGCATATGGAAGAAAATATAAATTCTTAGCACCATTGGGAAACATTGAAGAATCCATGTCCGTGATTATCATGAAGCATAGGCCAGATTAGCAGTCACTTAGAGGTAACCCCAATCTGCACTTCCTATTTATGACCACTCTTAAAACCTCAATTGAAAAACCTAGATTCTTTGGGCCAGAGAGATAGTACAAGGGTTCAAGTACATATCTTGCATATTGACAAACCCTCGTTTTATTCCATATAGTTCCCTAAGCACTGCCAGGAGTGACCCCAGTGTGGCCTGAAAAAAACAAAACAATAAAAGACAATCTAGATTGGTGAGACCTTGATGTCTGTCGTGTCCTGAAAGCTAGAGCCAGCTTTCTATGAGGCTTTTTCAGAGAAGATGACTATTTTCCCATCATGTTCTCTCTTTTTTGTTGTTGTTTGTTTGCACAAATTTAATCCCTTCATCTCTGCTCCATGAATTAGAAAGCAATCCATATTTAGAAGAAAACTTTTGGGGGAGTATGACTGGTGAGGTCCTCCGAAGCAGTGTCACCATTTTCAGTGATTCTCAGCCAACTGGCTGGTGCTTCAATGCAAGGGTGTCTGCAGAGATGGTACTGCTTGGGTCCTGCAGTGTCCCCCTGGTGGTGTTCAGGGGATTGCATAGTATGGGATGTCGAACCATGGTTGGCCACATACAAAGCTTGTGCTTTAATCTCTATTCTATCTAGCATCAAAAAACTTCTAAAAAGGGAAAAATATATCTAATTCTATATTCATTTTTGTTTGCATCTTATTTTGGTATAAATGATGCAACCCAGCGTCTCATACATATGGCCCAAAAAGCATAAAACCCTTTATTTATTTTTGGTGGGGGGGGTGCATAAGAGAGGCAGAGCAGCTCACAAAATGCTCGCAACAGTGCTTTGGGGACTATGCAGTGCTAGGAATTGAGCCTGGAGCTGCAGCTTGAAAGCATGTGCTCTAGCCTTTGAGCTACCTCCCCACCCCTACTATCAATATTTTAAATAGCTTTTTTCATATTTTTCTTTCATGTAACTGGCAAAGTTGGAATTCAAGCCATTTTTCTGTTTCAGGAAAGAACACTAAATTTGTAAACAGGCACCCTAGTACAATCTTGATACTTTAGGAAGTCTGTTTCTTCCTAAGGAAATTCCCTTTCCATAAGCAGGTGCTATTATCTATCCTAAAATGACTGTTCAAAGGATCATATTAAAATGTAAAGTGCTTATGGGGTAGAGGGAGTGTTCAAAGAATCATGTTAAAATGTAAAGTGCTTATGTGGTAGACAGACAAACGTAGCAGTGCTCAGTCAGGGGTCACTCCTGGAAGGGCTCAGGGTACCAAGGACCAAATCCAGGTTGGCTGTGTGCAAAGCAAGTGCTCTACCCACTGTATTATCACTCTGACCCATAAGTACATAAAGTTTTTTGACAAATTTTCCACAATATTAAATCACCTTGCTCTGGGCTGGAGCAATAGCACAGCGGGTAGGGCGTTTGCCTTGCATGTGGCAACCGGGTTCGATCCCCGGCATCCCATATGGTACCCCAAGCACTGCCAGGAGTAATTCCTGAGTTCAGAGCCAGGAGCAACCACTGAACATCGCTGGGTGTGACCCAAAAAGAAAAAAAAATCTTGCTCAATTTGTTAAAATTACATATAAATGGGCTGGAGCCATAGCACAGTGATAGGGCTTTTGCTTTGCAAGCCGCCAGTCCAGCCGAGCCAGGTTCAATTCCTCTGCCTCTCTCGGAAAGCCTGGCAAGCTACCCATGATATAGTCGACAATAACAACAAGTCTCACAATGGAGACGTTACTGGGCCTGCTCGAGCAAATTGATGAACAATGGGAGGACAGTGCTACAGTGCTACACATAAACATCTCCCTGTCTTCCTTTAATATTATAGACAGTTTTACTTTTTCATGTGTAATAAGCCAAACTCAGTAAACTTCCCACCTCCTTGGCCCATGGACACGCAGTGAGAAAATAACATAGCAACCGGGCTAGATATAAGACAGATGAACCCCTGCCTCCATGTTTGTATTCACTGTTGTAGGGGTTGCATGGTTTGTCATCTTTACTAACATCGCCCCTAAGTCCCAAATACTACTACACATATAGGTCTTTACAAAAGAACACAGCCTCCTCTCCTTTTTTGGGTAGGGGGACACAACCAGTGATGCTCAGGGATTACTCCTGCAGGTCTCTGCACTCAGAAATCACTCCTGCTAGTCCTCTTGGACCATATGGAATGCCAGGAATGAAACCCTCAAACCCAGGTAAGTTGCATGCAAGGCAAATGCCCTACCTGCTATACTATTGCTCCAGCCCGCCCCACCTCCCATTTTTTTTGTTGTTGCTGTTGGGGGTATAAGAGTTTTTTGTTGTTGCTGTTGGTGTAAGAGCCAGTGGTACATGGTGGGGGAGTCAGTCCCAACCATGCTCAGAGGACCATATGGTGCCAGGGATGAAACCCAGGTACCACACATGCAAAGTCTGCCTCACCCAGTTATCTCTGCCCCCACCCCCAGCCAAAAATCTTAACTTCAATCTCTGCTACTTTGTTTTGTGAATTTACCAAGTTGTCTGCTGAGATAGGCATCTTATTTTGATACTGAAAAAGTAGCAATAGGGTTTGAATGTTAAAAGGATTAAATAGCAGGTAGGACATTTGCCTTGCATGCAGCCTACCTGGGTTTAAGCCCTGTCTCCAGCATCCCATAAAGTCCCTTGAGCAGTACCAGGTGGTGGCCCCCAAACAAAAACAAACCAAAGGTCTGGATTGTATGCTTTGCCCTTGGAGGTCCAGGTTTGATTCCTGGTGAGGCATGGTCCCCTAAGCATCACCAGAGGTGACAGCCCCCCAACCCACAGCACAGACCCAGAAGTAGCTCTTGAGTACTGCTGCTACGTAAGGCCTCAAAACTAAAAACAAGCAAACAAAACTCAGTATAAACATGGAGACCCTTGGTATATATAATGGTGAAAGAGTTCAGTTGCTGGGGCTGGAGCAATAACACAGCAGGTGGGGCATTTGCCTTGTACGCGGCCAACCCGGGTTTGATTCCCAGCATCCCATATGGTCCCCCAAGCACCACCAGGAGTGATTCCTGAGTGCAGAGCCAGGAGTAACCACTGAGCATCAGCTGGGTGTGACCCAAAAAGAAGAAAAAAAAAACTAGTTCAATTGCCTGCACCATTTCCATCAGCTTCTATTGGACCCATGTCAAAGATGAGAGCCAGCTTGAAGAGACTCAGAGTGAAGGGATGACTTGCTTCATCACTTGATTTTGTTTTTCTTTTTGGGTCACACCTGGTGATGCTCAGGAATTACTCCTGGCTCTGTACTCAGGAATTTTCTCCTGGCAGTGCTCTGGGGACCATATGGGATGATGGGAATCGAACCCGGGTCGGCCGCATGTAAGGCAAACACTCTACCCACTGTGCTATTGCTCCAACCCTTCCATCACTTGATTTGCCTTGATTATCTAGACCTTGTCTTGGCTTTGGTGAGCTTCCCTATCATGTCCAACAGGTGTTTCTGTAAACAAAACTGCCTAAGTGTGGAAGAGAAAGAATCTAGGGACAAAACAATCCCAGAGGGGGAACATCTTAGTTAATTCTCATTAATCGAGCTATTTGGTTTCATATATATATGTGTGTGTGTGTGTGTGTGTGTAGGCTGGAGCGATAGCACAGCGGGTAGGGCGTTTGCCTTACAAGCGGCCAACATGGCCAACCCGAGTTCGATTCCTCCACCCCTCTCGGAGAGCCCGGCAAGCTACTGAGAGTATTCGATATGCCAGACACAGTAACAACAAAGTCTCCAATGGAGATGTTACTGGGCCCGCTCGAGCAAATCGACGATCAACGGGAGGGCCTTTACCTTTACCTTATCTAAATTACTGATATATATATATATATAAAATCCCAATATCCACCCCTTCACCATTCTACATTTCCCACCACCAATGTACCCTAGATTCCCTCCCATCCCCCCACCCCTGCCACCCCTCTTTCCTTTGGGGCACTGCACTGTAGCACTGTCTTCCCATTGTTCATTGATTTTCTCAAGCAGGCACCAGTAATGTCTCTGTTGTGAGACTTGTTTCTGTTTTTGGCATATGGAATACACCACAGGAAGCTTGCCAGGCTCTGCCCTGTGGGTGGGATACATTCAGTAGCTTGTCGAGCTTTCCAAGAAGGATGGAGAAATCGAACTGGGGGTTGGCTGCGTGGAAGGCAAGTGCCCTACCTGCTGCGCCATCGCTCCAGCAATGTATACTTACCTCAAAACCTAAGTAATTTTAAGATCAGAAGCTCACTTAATTCAGTTATTTATAAAATTCAGTTGAAAATGCTTCCCGCACTCACTGACTTCAATCTTACTCACAAAGAAAGCCAACCAAGTGTATTTCTTTTCATCAGTCACAATGAATGAGCATGGCCTTTGGCGTTGAGGGCCGCGGGAGCCCAGAGTTTGCCCCCAACAAGAGCCCCTGAAAGTCCTGCTGGCCCTCAGCAGCGCCACACCCAGAGGCCTGCGACTGAACGCCCAGTGGCGCTGGCTGAGGTGAGCACACAGGGAGGCTGGACCCACGTCGAGTGCTCCTGTTTCGACCAGCAATGAAGAGAACGCTTTTGCAAGACCTGCAATAGATACTGAAAGGTTATGAGGTATATCCCTCTACCTACCTATCCTGTCCAAAGTGATCATTTCTAACTATTATCATACCGGGTCCCTTCTCTATCCTAACTGCCCTTCGCCCCCCACACACCTGTGACAAGCTTCCAATAAATGACCAGTCCTGCTGGCCCCGTCTTTCCCTTGAGCTCTTTGGAGCAGCGCTCGGGTCTGGCGGGGGAGGACAAAGTGAGAGGCGTTATGAAGTGGAAGACAAGGGCCTCTGCGTTCCGCTGAGTATGGCCCCCAAAACAAAAGTGGGGGGAAAGCGCCAGACAGGATTTTCCCCTGACGTCCAACCACACGAAATGGAAAAACAAAAGACACCTCAAAGGAGCCAAGTCAGCAGCCCCTGCTAGTACTGGCCCTTCCCTGACTACATGGCAGGAACCTGTTTCCCTCCCGCGGGGGAGCGGAGGGCGCGGAGCGGAAGGCAGCACCGGGACAGCCTCGGCCTTTGGCCTCCACACCGCTGGGGAAGCGGGTCTCTGTAGTGGGAGGCGGGGCGCCTCGCGTGGAATGAACTAACTCCAACTCAGAGGGCCACTGCGCTTCGCCCCGAGGCGACGTCAGCGCTCAGGAGAAACGGCCCGGCCGCCCGGCTCGGGGAGGAGCTTCCTCTCCCACGGCTCCGGGCCGGAGAGACGGCGTTTCCTCTTCCAGAAGGGGGCGGCGGAGCGTCTTTTCCCGTAAGGGGCGGAGCTTTCTCTCCCCAAGGCGGGCTCAAGCCCCCGCGGGCCGGGGCGGGGCTTCCTCCCCTCGCGGGCTGGGGCGGGGCGGAGCTTCCTCACCCCGCAGGGGGCGGAGCTTTCCCTTCCCGCGGGTCAGGGCGGGGCTTTTTCCCCCTCGCTTGCAGGGGCAGGGCGGAGCTTCCTCACCTCGCAAGGGTCTGAGATTCCTCTTCCCGCGTGCCAGGGCGGGTCGGAGCTTCCTCTCCTCGCATGGGGCGGAGCTGCCTCTTCCCGGGTCGGGGCGGGGCTTCGTCCCCGCGTGGGATGGGACGGGGCGGAGCTTTCGCACCCCGCAGGGGGCGGAGCTTTCTCTTCCCGCTGGCCAGGGCGGGGCTTCCTCTCCTCTCAGGCTGGGGCGGGGCGGAGCGTCCTCACTCCGCAAAGGGCGGAGCTTCCGTTTCCCACTAGGGGCCAAGGCGGAGCTTCCTCATTCCGCAGGGGCGGAGCTTCCCTTTCCCTGGGGCTGTGGCAAGGCTTCTTCACCCCACAGGGGGCGGAGCTTCCCCTTCCCGCGGGCCGGGGCGGCGCTTCCTCTTCAGGGGGCGGAGCTTCCCCTTCCCGTGGGCCGGGGCGGCGCTTCCTCACTCTTCAGGGGGCAGAATTTCCCTTCCCGTGGGCCGGGGCGGTGCTTCCAGACTCTTCAGGGGGCGGAGTTTCCCCTTCTCGCGGACCGGGGCGGGGCTTCCTCACTCTTCAGGGGGCGGAGCTTCCCCTTCCCGCGGGCCGGGGCGGGGCTTCGTCCGCGCGCGTGCTGGCGCGGGGCGGGGCACAGCTCTACCAGCCCGCCCTGATCCCTCTACTGCGCATGGCACGTTGCGTCCCTCCCCGCAACCGGCCTGGTGGTGGCGCGGCCATAAACTGAGGAGGCGGAGCTGAGACGGGAATCGTACTGCTTACTAACTTCAGGACCAGGTACCGGGCTGGCGGGGCCGCCTGGTGCGCCGCAGGGCTCATCCCCCTCCTCGCCCAGACGCCGATTCCATCTCCTCGAGGGCGGGCCTTCATCGGAGCGGCCGCGCCGGGCCCTCACTCCCCCTTCGCTCAGGTCCCTTTCCACCCGATTTCTGCAATGAGGGGCTGCAGCCTGGTGGCGGAACAGACTGGGCCCTGCCGGGGGACACCGGAGAGGAGTTGCTGGGCGCGCGAGGCAAGCGTCTGCCGCCCCTCCTCTCCATCCCCACCGACTTGCTGGTGGAGCTCCTGGGACCCAGGGCCACTGCCTTGTGATCAAGCGAAAGGTGTTAACATTCGTCCCTAGCGCCACCTCTCCCCGCTCTCCTCTTGCCCCAACACCACGCCCGGCTGACTCCCGGAACCTGCTAGGGCTGCAGATCGGGGTTGGAGATGGGGTCCGGGTTGGGATGAGCGAGGGCGTATAGGTGAATGAAATGGGCAACGGGGAACACACTTCTAGCCAGCCGTTTGCTCAGAGATCCCGGCCTCGCTCAGCCCTCTTGACCCCCCTAGAGCAGGAGCTGCTCAGAATGGCCCTTTTTTCCATCTTGCTACCCCTCCCCCATCACCCCGGGTTAAAACCATTTTGCATTTGACAGCTCATTGTTGACTGATCCCTTCTTGCTTGAAACACCCAAAGCAAGAAGGAGTTCCTTCCTGGAAAAAAAAAAACCCACCTCAACTAATCTATCACCTGCTAAGGCCATGCTCAGCCTTAAGTGGCAAATGGGACTCTATCTAGGTCTGACTCCCTTACTCCTGTAAGCAAGTCTCTTAAAGGCATTGTTGGCTCACATAGAGCGCAGACCTGGAAGAAGTTTAGAAAACCAGTGGCAAAACTAGGGAGAAATGGCATCGAGGTGCATGTCCACCCATCCGTACCATTTGACACTTGGTCCCAGCATTGCCCAAGCCAATGCTGCCCACTCAGTTTGGTTCTGTCTCTGCACAAACCCTTGATCAGTCTCTTGGCCTTTATTACCACTGAGTTTCTAGAGCACACTCAGCCTTTTTTCACTCTTTGTTGAAGCTTTGTGCATTTAACTCCCTGAGCCCTAACCTCTTGATCTGGAAACTGGGTGTGATAATACACTCCCAGCACTTCAACACAGTTTCACTTCCTATGTTTTTAGTTATCTACAGCCAAATGCTGTCCCAGCATACTGTCTACCATAAGCTATTTTGAGATTTTGTTCACACAACTTGTATTGCAATATAGTGCTATAATCGTGCTATTATATTAAGTATTGTTATGAATCGTTTACTGTTGTTCAGCTCTTACTATCTAGTTTATAAATTAAACTTCAGTAGTGTGTGGAAAGTGGGGGAAATGTACTTCATATTTAGGGTTTCTTAGAATCCTATGTTCTAGACATTTGCTGGGCATCTGGGATGAATCCCCTACTGATACGGGAGTGGGAGGCACTGTGTTGCAAACTAATCTCTAAGTTGTTTAGTACAGATCCTGGCACATACTAAATTCAGGGGAAATGCTTGTTGCTTTCATTTCTTAAAATAGTAGGAGGGGGAATCCTTTAGCAGACCTTCCTTTAGGTTGCGTGCAACCCACCTGGGTTCAGTCCCATGTGGTCTTCCCAACACCAGGACTAAGCCCCGAGCCCTGCTGGGTATGGTCCAAAACAGACAAATACAGGAGGAGTCCGGAGAAATAGTACAGTGGGTAGGGTACTTGATGGCTGCTGTCTCTCAAGCTGCCAGGAGTGATCCCTGAACATTGTTAGGCATATCTTGAGTGCAGTAACCCCTGGGAATGCAACAGTGAACAAGATGTGTTCCCTGCTCTCAAAGGATCTCTGTCCTAGAAGAGGGCATTAAATAGGCAGAAAGAGTGTGACAGGTGCGGATATGATCCTGAAACTCACACCCAGCAGATTGGGGTAGAAGGAGCAGCACAGGATACCTGAGACTACATCAAGGGTTGTAAGTTCAGGTGAGAGAAGGTGGTCCAGGAGGGGAAGCACACACTTTACTTGTCATACACTTGCTCACCAAGGGCCACACTTGTTTTGTTGTGGTACTCACGCACATTCTGGTCATTGGGCTCTCTATGATCAGTGATGTACTTTTACACATGATTGCTGGGGTTTGTGCTTGACAGAAGCAGTTCTTTCCTCTCCTACCCCCACCCCCGACTGCTTCAGAGATCGCACCCTGTGTTGTGCCAGGACCCTGAGAGCACAGTGGGCAGCCCTGAGGATTAGTCACAGCCTTATCTTGCGAGGTGCTTAGCCATTGAGCCTGCCCCGCTCTTCACGTCCACCTCCCCAACCCCGGAGCATAAAGGTCATCTCTGTTTCCTTTAGTAATTTTATTTTATTTTATTTTGACTTTTTGGGTTACACCCAGCAATACACAGGGGTTACTCCTGGCTCTGCACTCAGGAATCACCCCTAGCGGTGCTCAGGAGACCATATGGGATGGTGGGAATCGAACCCAGGTTGGTCGCGTGCAAGGCAAACGCCCTACCCACTGTGCTATTGCTCCAGCCCCTCCTTTAGTTATTTTAACTTTTCCCATTCTATTATTATGGTTCATTTTTATTTGTAGTTGGTACTGTATTCAGATAATTTTCCTCAGTGGAATTCCTATGGCCCCTCTCTTTTTTATTGATTCACCATGAGATACATTTACAAAGCTTCCATGTTTGAGTTTCGGTCATATAATGATCAGTCACCCATCCCTTCACCAGTGCATATTTTCCACCACTAAAATCCCCAGTATCTCCCCCACCCATTTCAAGCCTTCCCCTGACTGTGTGGCAGACAATTTCCACAATACTCTTTCTCTACTATGATTACATTCTATATATCTATATTTTTTTGGGGGGGTCACATCTAGTGATGTTCAGGGGTTACTCCTGACTCTGCACTCAGGAATTACTCCTGGCAGTGCCTGGGGGACCATATGGGATGCCAGAGATTGAACCCAGGTCGGCCATATGCAAGACAAACACCCTACCCGCTGTACTATCACTCCAACCCACATTCAATAGTTTGACACCAGTCCCACCACCACTCAAACCTGCCGAAAAGGAAATGCTAGACAATTTGTTTTGTATTGCTTGTTATGGATAGCATGTCGTCTTGCAGCTGAGAGAGTGGCCTCGAGTGCTAGGAATTCTAAAATTGTAATAATTAGGGTCTGGAGAGATCTCTGCAGCGAGCTGCTCGGTTCCAAGATTCTGGATCATAGTGGCCCTCTCTTAAATGTGATTGACCAAATACAGTTCTATTTCTCAGTTATATTTTCCCATGGCTGCATTTGCTTATCATTAGATTAATGTAAACTAACAGGGCAGGAGAGAGAGTTCAATAGCTTGAGTTCAGGCTTTGCAGGCAAGAGTTCCAAGTTCCAAGTTCATTTCCAAGCATCGCATGTTCCCAGCACAGCCAGGTGTGACACGCCCAAGATCTGAGTCAGGAGAAGGCCTTATGCACTGCTGGTTGTAGCCCATGAATGGAATAAAATAAAAAGTAAAGTATTGATTTGATTTATATAGTGTTAATAGTCTGTGAATCAGGTGATGTAAGTCTTGTGCTTTCAAAATCAAATGGGGGCCCCTCAGAGGAGTTACCGCCTTGCATCCTGCTGACCCTGGTTCGATCCCAAGCACCACATATGGTTCCTTGAACATGGCTAGGAATCACCCTGGAACTCAGATCCAGGAGTAGCCCACGGAATTGCCTTCAGAAACACTGCCCTCAAAAAACAAAACAGGGCTGGAGAAATAGCCCTGGGTAGGGTGTTTGCCTTGCACACGACCGACCCGGGTTCAATTCCAGCATTCCATATGGTCCCCCAAGCGTCACCAGGAGTAATTCCTGAGTGGATGAGCCAGGAGTAACCCCTGCGCAATGCCAGGTGTGACCCCAAAAAGCAAAAACCAAAAAAACAAATTAGAAAATCCAAATCTCAGGACCCAAGAGATAATACAGCAGGTAAGATGGTTACCTTTCATGCTGCCTCCCCAATTTCCATTCCTAGCTTCCCATGTGGTCCGTCAAGCACTGCCAGGAGTACTTCCCGAGTGCAGAGTTAGAGTAACGCCTGAGTATCATAGCCCCAAAACAAAAACCATCCAAATCTGCGCACCATAAAGGCTGGCTGAGGGGCAAGAGCAATAGTACAGCGGATAGGGTATTTGCCTTGCATGCAGCCAATGCAGATTCAATCCTTGGCATCCCAAATGTTTCCCTTAGCACCATCAGGAGTGAGTCCTGAGTGCAGAGCCAGGAGTAACCCCTGAGCATCACCAAGAAAGCAAAAAAAAAAAAAAAAAGTCTCGCTGACATGAAAGTGACCAGTTTAGTGGCAGCCAGAGCATGGCTTGGGGCTGGGGAAGGTGGTCTCTAGGGAATACTTGGAATTGGGCGAGTTTGAGTGTATGCAGAAATATACAAATAAGAAAAGCAGAGCTGTTGGAGTATTTGGAGAAAGTCAATAGTAGCTACATGGGCAACCAAACAAGTAGGAAAAGTAGCAATTACTGGATTACTGGGAGTAGGGTTGGGTGGAGACTAACAAACCAGCCATCAGCAAGACTTGGTGGTGGATGTGAGCCGTGTTTGCATAGTTCAAGTATAATGTGAATATGGACCATTGCACTGACCCATCTGACAGAACTTTGGAGAAGGCAGGCAGGAGAATAACAGTTTGGAGAAGGCAGGCAGGAGAATAACAGCACCAGAAGGTGATATGGTCTTTGTTGTCAGCCACCGTGGTAGAGAGTTAATAGATGCATGTCTGAAATGTGTGTCAGAACTATAGAAGGATTATTTAAGAACGAAAAACAAAACGGGGAAGGGATGTAGCGCAGCAGTGGAGTACTTACCTTGTGTCTGTGAAGCCCTGAGTTCTATGTTCAGCTAGTGTGCCCCCTGCTCCAACCCCCACAGCACCGCCAGTGGGAGTGACCCCTGGACTCCAAACATTGCCTTTCACTCCAAGGCCAAAGCAAAGGCAAAGACAAAAACACTGAACAACTAAAAGAATCAGTAATTCTGGGGCTAGAGTGATGGTACAGCAGTAGGGCACTTGCCTTGCACACTCCCAGACCCAGGTGATACCTGAGCAGAGTGAGGGTGAGCCCTGAGCACCACTGGGCTTTGGGTGTCCCCAAACCTAAAAAATAAATGAATAAAAATACTACTATGGCTAGAGAGGGACTGGAGTGATAGCACAGTGGGGAGGGCGTTTGCCTTGCACGCGACTGACCCAGGTTTGATTATTCCGTCCCTCTCGGAGAGCCCGACAAACTACCGAGAGTATCCTGTCCGCACGCAAGCTCCCCATGACGTATTCGATATGCGAAAAACAGTAACAAATCTCACAATGGAGACATTACTGGTTCCCACTCAAGCTAATCGAAGAACAATGGGAGGACAGTGCTACAGTGCATGGCTAAAGAGAGAGTACAGCGGGGTGGAGGCTTGCCTTGCACACAGTAAACTCAGATTCGATCCCCAGCACCCCGTATGGTTCCCCCGTATCCACCAGGAGGGAGTCCTGAGTGCAGAGCCAGAGTAACTGCTGAGCACTGCTGAGCACGGCCCCAAAACAAAATAAAGATGCTACTTTATTAAAAGAAAAAATTGGAGTAATTGCTCCTGGGAAGGAGTCAAAGATGAGAACCATGCTGCTAAGAATCTTCGCTTTTGCTGCTGTTGAGACTGATCTTTCAGAATGTACTTGGCCAAAGCCCATCCACATCTATTGTCACTTTAGGCATTTCTCTAAACAAATTGTTAGGATCTTGCATGAGTCTGTAGGTCTCATGCAGTGCCAGAATGGTAGTTTCATGGTCAATTTGTGTTACCTAAAAGGTGTTCCCACAGAAAGAAATCTGACTAATGCAATCCTTTTCTATTTTTGTTGTAGGTTTGAATTTTTGAAACTGAAGTAGGTCTACACATTAGGAACTCATGTCTTTTCTTGTAAGTAAACCAGAGCGAATTAGGGTGAGTGTTTCTCTTTTTCTGACTTTACTGTTTTTTATTTTCTGAAGAGCGACATAGTTGGGCAGATACTGCAGGTCTTCTCATGTAATGCCAAGAATCTTAAGGCCTTAGAGCAGGAAGGAAGGGACAGAAGAAGAAATGCAGGTGTTAATTTCAACTTCCACTTTTAAGGAAACAAAGTAAAAATACAATAAAAAGTGAAAGTGGGGGGGCAGTCTTCACTCCTAAGAAGTTGCTGACAGAGGCTAGTCAGAGGCAGGATACCCACGACTGTGTCTGACAGCAAAGGTAGAGGCGATGTCCATCTCAGTATCAGAACATCAGTTTGACCCATTTTTGTGGAGTAATGTAAGTGTTCACAATCTGCCCATTTCCATCATGTCTTCACTTCAATAAGTTTGTGTATTCACAAAAATCAGGATCAGATTGAAACTAGAACACTTTTCCCTAAGAATGATCATAGAGATTTTGTTTGTTTGTTTGGGGATGTGGGGCAGGTGTCAACACCCGATGGCACTTAGGTCTATCTCTTGGCCCTGCACTCAGGGATCACTCCTGGTGCGCTCAGGGGACCATATGGGATGCTGGGGATCGAACTTGGGTTGATTGCATGCAAGGCAACCTCCCTATATTCTGTACCACCACTTCTTGGGTTTTAAGTGAGGACTTTCTAACTACGAAATTTCTTGCATGTGAAAACTTCATCAGCTAAAATGATCTCAAAAAGGGTCAGAGAGATAGTACAGTTAATTGCCTGGCCCGTGGCAGACTGACTTAGAGTTCCTGCACCACCTACTGATGGTGTGTTAAAGGCACACAGCAGGGTTGGCCCCAAAACAAATAAAAATTACAAGAACACTGAATTAGCTGTTTTGTAGGCTTCCCTGACTTTATAGAAAAGTATCTTATTTAGTATCAAGTACTTAAAAATGCACTAGTCGTTCTTTTTAAATTTTGTAATAAAGTATAAGCACTTTGAGGTTCTCTGACTATACCACTTTCTAAATGCAAATGATATTTTTCAGTACAATGCTGCATTTTTTTTATATTTTCAAGTTTTTAATTTGTTATTTTTTTCAATTTAGAAAAATTGACAAGGGGACAGATAATGATGTAGATTTCCATTCACAAGTTATGCAATTACTTCTGAATGCTAATTCTTTTTTTATGTTTATGTATATAGATCCAAATGATCCTGGAAACAGTAAGCTTCACTGTTAATTAAAAAGAACAATTGGAACCTCTCTGTGTGAACTATATCCAGTGGAAAGAATGCTCCCAAGCCAAACTTTAACACCAGCCTTTAAGTGTAATAGGAGCTTGCTTCCATTGCTTTTAAATATGAGCTGCTTTTCTACTTCAGCCTAACCTGATTCAGGTGAAACCAGACCACTGATCAGGATGCTGGAAATCAGATACTCATTTGAAATAGGCTGGTAGTGACTGGGACGAAGCTCAGTGGCGAAGTACATTCGTCACACGTGTGAGACCCTGGGTTCAGTCCTAAATGCTGCAAAAATAAAATACGCAAACAGGAAATACCTGAAATAAGCGAGTAAAGACTACAGATTGATTAATCATATTAGTTAGGGCTGTGTTAACGTGGTTGAAAATGTAATTGATGTCTTTAAAAACCCTAGTGGAGAGAGAGTACAGGGGGTAGGCACTTGCCTTGCTGGTGGCCAACCCTGATTCAGTCCCCAGCATCCCATGTAGTCCCCCAAGCACTGCTAGGAGTGATTCTTGAGCACCTCTGGGTGTGGCCCAAAAAACAAACAAAAAGAAACCCTAGTGGATGGAATTTACAAACGAATAGAAGCTTGTGACAAATTACAGCTTGATACCTGTTTTTCTGTTGTGAATTCCAGTAGTAATTTTCAAGTTGGCATTAGTAACCTGAACCATCTGTAATAAGGCTATCATGTAGTTTTATATACAGGTAGGACAAAAGTGGTTTCTTCATTATCAAGTATTGTATGTTTTTCACTTGTCAGATTTAAGAATTATTAATCTAATTGGGCTAAGAGAAACAGAAAAGAATTATACCATTTGTTTTAAACCCAAGATTCTTTTCTGAATTTTTCCACTGAAATATATCTTAACTGTACTGTATGATTCTGTTTTCATAGTTGTGTTATTGTTTGTGTTTCTAATGGCTAATAGCTAATTTGTGCTGTGGCTTGGAAAAAATACTAATTCTCTTTGGGGTTTTCCTCTTTAGCGGTGGGTCTCGGAAAAGTTCATTGTTGAGGGCTTAAGAGATTTGGAACTATTTGGAGGTAAGTGTATTATAGCATTTTAGGTTATCATTATCACTTTAGGATAAATATATCACTACTGTTCAGTATATCAGTTTATAGAAATTGTCAGTTTTAAGGGCAAGTATAAACTAAGCTTTTATATTTGTTAAAGCCCCTTTTAAATCCATGGCTTCCTAAATATTTGTGGACTACCTAGAAGTTGTCCTGCTCTGTCTTAATTGTTAGTAAGTCAGTTACTATTTTTTAAGGTTTTTGGATTGGGGGCCACACTCAGTGGTGTTCAGGGACACTCTTGGTGGGGACCATATAGGATGCCAGGGATTGAGACCAGGTCAGCCACATGTACGGCAAAGCCCTCGCTGCTATACTATCTCTCCAGCCCCAGTAAGCCAATATTTGCTGAAAGCACATGTATTTCTTCAAAGTATCTATGAAATTAAAATGCATATTTGGGGAGTGGATGGTTTTGGCCATACCCAGTGGTGCTCAAGGCTTACTCCTGGCTCATTGCTCAGGGATCATTCTTAGTAGTCCTTAGGGGACCCATATGCAGCGCCAGAGACTGAACCCAGATTGGCTGTGTGCAAGGCATGCATGCACCTTACCCACTATGCTATCTCTGACCTCCCAAAAGCATATTCTTAAAAGGAAAAATAATCACCATTTGATTGCCTTGAAAGGGAACAGAGAGCGAGTACAGCAGGCAGGGTGCTTGCCTTGAGCACAGCCAACCCGGAGTTAGTTGTGTATACCTCTATGGTCTACTGAGCGCCGCTAGCACAAAGCCAGGAGTAAGCTCCTAGTACCACCACTTATGGCCCAAAAGCCAAGAAAAAACCTTGCAATTAAAAAAAAATAATCTGATTGTAGCCAGGCAGCAGTTATATGAAAGTTCTGCTTTTAGTGATCACAATGAGTTACTTATCTTTTCTTCTCAGAAGAAAGAAATCTGTCAAGGCAAAACCGACTTCCTTTGTAAAATCTAATTGTTGATTTCAGAAATCAAGCACAGGGGCTGGAGCAATAGCACAGCGGGTAGGGCGTTTGCCTTGCACGTAGCCAACATGGCCGACACAGGTTCAATTCCCAGCATCCCATATGGTCCCCCGAGCACGGCCAGGAGCAATTCCTGAGTGCATGAGCCAGGAGTAACCCCTGAGCACATCGCCGGGTGTGACCCAAAAAGCAAAAAAAAACCAAAAAAAAAAAAAAAAACAAACAGAAATCAAGCACATTGATGCTCTGAGGGTTACCAGACATAGGCGTTTTCCTTTCACTATTTTCAAATTGAATCTTGGAGAACTGGGTTCTTAGGCAAAGAAAACACTGTTTTAAAAACATAGTAACAACTTGCTCTTCAAGCTGTGTTCTCCCTTGAACACAAGTATGTTGCTTGCTGGTCTATGTATTTTTGCTAGCTTTTTCAAAACACTCTGGAGAAGCCTGTATTCTCTCTTGAACATGTGCTTCCTCTCTTTCTCTCCCCTCATGTCTTTCTAAGCAAGTTTTATTCAATTAAAAACTGTCTCTGATAATACTAGTGGTAGTCGTAGTTGGGGCCAGAGAGATAGTACCTTGGGTGGGCAATTGCCTTGACCTGGGTTTGATCCCTGGTACCCCATATGGTATCCCAAGCCTTACCAAGAGGTGATCCCTGAACTCAGAACCAGGAGAAATCCCTGAACACTCTTGGTGTGACCCCAAAACAAAACAAAACCAATAAATAATAGTAATAGAGCCTTATTCTTTGTGTCTTGACTATCAACATTTTCCCTTCGGTTCTTGTAGCTAAAAAGATCGGTTATCAAATCAGGTACATTGATTGACTGATCCAGAATAGCCCAAATAATCTTCAATAATTGAGAATTCAACTTGTCAGCTACTAATAGTGCCTGTTAATTTGTTTTCCTTAATGCTTGCCAAAGAACTTTCAAATGTTCATTTTTATAAATTTTGGCAGTGTTGTGTCTTAGACTAATCAGAGTTTAGGAAAAAACCTCTTGGTTATAAAGAATAAAAATGAGGGGACTGGAAAGATACTGGGAACAAAGCGATGGTACAATATGTAGGCCATCTTCCCTGCACATGGCTAACTGTTTTAGATCTCCAGCATCCCATATGGTCCTCCGAGCACCACCAGACCACCAGGAGTAATTCCTGAGTGCAGAGCCAGTAGTAATCCCTCAGCTTCACTGGGTGTGGCCCAAAATGCCAAAAAGGAAAAAAAAAGCATACTTTGCATGTGGGAGTCCCAAGATCTATCTTGGCCTTTTGTGGTCCCTCAAGCACCTTCAGGTATAGTATAGAAACCAGAGAAAAAAAGAATGAAAAGTCTGCACAGAGTTGAGACTAGCCCCTGAGCACCTCCAGATCCTCTCCAAACAACAACAACAACAACAACAAAGCTGATCTGCATTGTAAAAGAAAGATACTATATTCTGGTCTTATTTTTCCCCATTATTAGTGGGCATAGAATGGTTTAAAAGCAAATATTGGGGGCTGGAGAGGTAATAACAGTGGCAGGTAAGGCATTTGCTGTACATGTAGCCCACCCAGAGGTGTTCCGAGAGCATAGAGCCATTGGAGGAGGATCCAAATACAGCTCTTGTGACCCCCAAATCAAGGAAAGACAAAAGTAAACATTGGCATCGGTGGAAATTTAAGGTCCTGCTTATAATGAATTATTTATAATATTTTGATACTTGTGTAATTTATAATATTTTGATATTTGTGAATAGAATGGATTTGGGAGTCAGTCCCTTAGGTAGAGGATCTCCAGTTTGACAGTTCACTGGTCTCTTATCTGAGGGTGGGGAGATCAGTCTGTACGTTGTTCACAGCTTGATGAAGTGTCTGTTACCTAGTTTTATGCACCTTGGAATTTACCTTCTGCTCTGGAAGATTGGGTTTGACTTCCTTTAACCTGGCTTCCTACCTGACTGTTTTAAACAAGTTGTTCTTAACATTTTTGTACCAGAAAACTAATGGCCAAAAGAAAAACTCTTATATTTGATCAATTAAGACCAAGTTGTTCTTAACATTTTTGTACCAGAAAACTAATGGCCAAAAGAAAAACTCTTATATTTGATCAATTAAGACCTTGTAGCTGATAACTTCTAGCTACTAGAAGCTAGAAGTAATCTAGCTGATTACTTCTAGAACAGTTGGAAGTTCTAATTTTTTGATGTTACATTTTTGGAAATATGTGATAATACCAATACTTTACAATTAAAAACTCTTTAGGGGGACCATAGCGATTATATAGGGAGTAGGGCAGTTGCTGCATGTGCTCAGCCTGGTTCTCTGATACCCAGCACCTCATATGCAGTGATCCCTGAATACAGAGTCAGGAGTAACCCCTGAAAACTGCTTGGTGTGGCCCCCCAGACCAAAAAACATCAACAACAACAGCAAATCTTTAGGGGCCAGTGTGATAGTATAGTGGGTGAGATGCTTGACTTGCATGCGGCTGTCCTGGGCTTAATCCCTGGCACCCCCTATGGTCTCCCAAGCCTGCCAGGAGGGATCCCTGAGTACAGAGCCGGGAGTAAGCCCTGAGCACTGCTGGCTATGACTCCAAAACAAAACCAAATCGTTAGGGCTATAGAGATAGTAGAGTGGGTAAGGTGTTTGCTTTGCATGCAGCTAACCCTGGTTCATTACCTGGCACCATGTTGGTCCACTGAACACTGCCAGGCATGATCCCGGAGTGTAGTCAGGAGTACTGACTTAGCACTGCTGGGTGTGGCCCCCAAATAACAATACACAGAAAACAAAATCTTTGATGGCTTTGATCAATTTCATGGAATGGATAATCTAAAATATAGATATAGAATCTTTTTTGGGTTTGGCCACACCTGTTGCTCCTGGTGGTACTCAAGGGGAGCCACGCAGTGCTGGGCTCAAGTCCAGGTCTTACACATGCAGAATCTGCTCCAACCCTTTGAGACCTGCCCTTAGCCCCCAGATATAGAGTTTGTTTGATTAAGAACCAGAAGTTACTGTAATTGTCCTTTCTTTTGTTTTTACCCAGAATAGCAGAGGGACAAAAAGCCCAGAATTTACTTGTATTTAGAATGCATCTAACTGGAGAACATAACTTGTCATTATGTTCTCATATACATACTACTATATTGAATTTTTTTTTTTTTGCTTTTTTTTTGGGAGGGGTCACACCTGGCGACGCACAGAGGTTACTCCTGGCTCATGCACTCAGGAATTACTCCTGGCAGTGCTCAGGGGACCATATGGGATGCTGGGAATCCAACCCAGGTTGGCTGCGTACAAGGCAAATGCCCTACTTGCCATGCTATCACTCCAGCCCCCTGAAATTTGTTTTTATTTATTTATTTTTGCTTTTTGGGTCACACCCAGCAATGCCCAGGGGTTACTCCTGGCTCTGCACTCAGGAATTACTCCTGGCGGTGCTTGGGGGACCATATGGGATGCCGGGGATCGAACCCAGGTCGGCCGCGTGCAAGGCAAACGCCCTACCCACTGTGCTATCGCTCCGGCCCTGAAATTTTTTTTTTAATTTATAAAATATAATAAAAAAAACTATTCGGAGCCATAGTGATAGTACAGCAGGTAGGCATTTGCCTTGCATGCAACTGGTCTGGTTCAATACCTGGTATCTATCTCATGTGGTTCTCTGAAGTCCTCCAGGAATGATCCCTGAGTGCAGAGCCAGGAATAAACCCTGAGCATCATTGAGTGTGTGCCCCCCCCCAAAAAAAAAACCAAAACATTCTTAAAAACAGTTCCTCTGAGCACTACCAGGAGTGAGTATGATGAAGAGTAAGCTGGGTGTGGCCCCCAAAACAACAGAAAACCAACCATGTAAGGCAATAAATGATTTTAGTCCCCACACTTCTTGGGAATAGTCAGACTTTTGGCAGGGGGTGTTGAGAGGGTGGCCCCAGCAGTACTTCAGGCTCTGCTCAGGGATCATTCACAGAGGCGTTTGGGGGAACCGAAGGGCTGGGGAGCTGGAGATCAAACATGGGCTTCCTGCATGCAAAGCATGTGCTCCTGCCCTTTGAGCAGCTGTTTTTATGACTTGATAATGAACATTTGTTTCCAGTAAAGTTCTGAAACCAGCCCTTAAGAGCACCTTGCATATACAAATGTAAAGTCAAGGTGTGCTCAGAGTCAGCTTTCCTCAGTAACGAATGCCCATAGAATAGAATGGTTTCCTGGCCAAACCATAGATTCCTGCTCTTCTTTCTGTGGTATTTTTACTGGGGATCTGTGCATGAGCGTGCGCGTGCGCGTGTATGTGTGTGCGCGCGCACGTGTGTGTGTGTATGTGTGTGTGTGTGTGTGTGTGTGTGTGTGTGTGTGTTCGCTGCTGGAAGTTCTTTTTGCTGAAATAACTCTTTAAGTGGTTTCTATTAATAAACGTGGTCCTGAGTGCATAATTGCTGTTCTGAATGTGGGTGTGTCTTCTGCTCAAAACCCGAATGCCAACAACCCATTTCTCTACTCCAGAGCAGCCTCCGGGTGACGCTCGGAGAAAAGTAAGTGCCTCTCTAGGCTCGCGCGCTGTGGCTGTTGCATGGAGGTGACGTCTTGTGGGAGCTTGTGGGTTTTTGCTGGCCTGTCATTTTGTTTTTGCTTCTCTGTCACTGAGCTTTATTTGTAGTGTCATTCTTGTTCTTGTGGAGACTCAGGTTTCACCCTGGAAAGCTTTTGATGTGTAGCTGGGGAAGAATCTCAGGTGCTTTCCCTCTCCCTCTGGAGAACTAATGTCTCCCTCCTCTTACTTCCCAACTCTCCTATTTATCTTCCACCCCAGCCCCTTTGAAAGAAACTTCCAGTCATCTAAATTGGCTCTTTTTTTTTTTCTTTTTGGTTCACACCTGGTAAAGCTCAGGGATTACTCCTGGCTCTGCACTCAGGAATTACTCCTGGTGGTTCTCGGGGGACCATATGGGATGTCAGGGATTGAACCCGGGTCGACTGCATGCAAGGCAGATGCCCTGCCAGCTGTACCATCGCTCTGGTGCCCTCGGTTCCTCTTTTTTGCAGCTTAGCGGGACTGTAATTTCCATCCTTTGTCTATTAATGGGACTTCCGGTTACAAAATGATGTAGATGTTTGTGTAAATAATACAGATCCTGTGTCTGTCCTAAGATAGAACTTTACATCTTCTGCCTCAGAAACAGAACCCCCCACATTTAAAGTACAGAGTAAGAAAACGGTTTGTTTTTTTAATTGGCAAAAATTGCAAGAGCTTTGCCCTACTTCCTACGCTTCTCATTTATTTTACCCAAGAAAATGGTTCCAGATGTGCACAGTGAACCACACTGTTTCTATGAAACTCTTATAAATACAGAGGAGCAGAACTCTTTTCTGAACAAACCTCAAAATCTTTGCTGGTGACAGACATTTGCAGCTTTTGCAGGCGGCTCTGGGATGGAGGGCAGGCTGCTGAGTTCAGTAGGAATTTGTCTTTGAACAGAGCTTTGGCTTGGCTTATTCAGTCTCTCCTTGGAGTATTGCTCTATCAGTGCCAAACCGTTCCCAGCCAGGAGACCACAAACATTCCTCGCAGAATCAGCCCACTATTTTTTCCCCTAAAACTAGGGTGTCCCTTATGTATAATTTTTTGTTTTCACTGCCAATTTTAAATCAAAAGAGATCTTGTGTGAAACCTGTGGGAAGTTGAATGCATCTATTGGCATCTCATGATATTGTCTGTGTGCTTAAGCCTCTGGATTTTTTTTTAAACTCTAAGCAGTGTCATCATGTGATGATAATTTCTAGATATCAGTACTTGATCTTTCAAATGCTTCAAAGTGTATGAAATGCTTTTTGTAGTGGGGGGAACTAGGAAGAAGGTTTAATGGAATTAGTTTATTGGGTTTTTTCCCCCCTTCTCTAGGTAATTCAGGATTGTGTATTACACTAATAAAACTGTGCCATGCTAGCTTCTAGAGTATGGACTATTTCATCCCTTCCATCTGAATTTTGACCTTCTCTAGATCTGAAACAATATAATAAGCTTTTTCTGCCTTTCTCGGTCCTATGTCTGGATCAGTGTTCCTTTTAGAACATTGCTGTTGGTTCCTGGTTGGCTTTTTTGACTCAAGATGGATTTCTCCGAGCTCAGAGCTATATTCTGTTATCTGGGAATATCAAAAGAGTAGAAAAGCATCCATTTTACAACGGTTCCCTGGGAATTGGGGGTGGGTAGAGAATCGAAGCAAGTACAGGACTAGCTCATTTCATACAATTCTAGGAACTCAATGAATCCCTGTCAGTCCAGGGAGTTTTATCATGGAGGCCAGAGAGGGTCTCAGCAGGCTGAGTGCAGGCTTTGTAAGACACCCGGAAGTGATCTTTCCTCCCACACGGTCCCTTGAGCCCCACTATCTCCAGAAACAAAACAAGTATTTTATTTTTTTTTTTGAATTAAAACTTTTTTAGGGCCAGAGTGACAATACAGTGGGTAGGTTGTTTGCTTTGCTTTCAGCCAACCCGGGTTAGATTTTTCGGCATCCCATTTGGTCTCCCTAGCACCCCCCATCCTCCCAGGAGTGATCCCTGAGTATAGAGCCAGGAATAATCCCTAAGCACCACTGCCCCTGGGTGTGCCCCCCAAAACAACTCCCTGTCAAAAAAAATAAATAAGAGAGGGGGGAAAAAAACCACTTTTGAGTGGTTTCCTATAGTTAAGGGAGATTGTAGCGGCCTGAAGAGACAGTACACCTGGCACAGTGCTTGCCTTGTGTGTGGCTGACACGGGTTTGGCAGGGCATGTGCCTTGAACATGTGAGTCTCTGAATTCACTCCCTGGTGCTTCAAGCCCCTGGTCACCCCGTTATGGGCGTGTTGCATGCAGGCTGGTGTTTCCCATGTGTTCCATTATGTGGAGCCCCATATCCTGTTCTCCTTTTTGTGGGAATGACAAGGACGTGGCAGAACAGTGCCTCGGTCAAACTTGGCTTACGTACAATTTTTTTTCTTTTTAAGTTGTACTGTAGGGGCTGGAGCAACAGTCCAGCGGGGCCAGCGCTTGCCTTGCAGTCAAGGAGGTAGGCAGGGGCCAAGGCAGGTGCTTCCTTCCTGGCCAGAGGCAGCATGTTGGGTCCAGAAGTAGCCTCTTGGGTAAACTGAGACCCTGAATTTACTGAGGAGGAAAGAGCATCTGCAAGGCGAGGCCATGGGCAGGCCATCCAGGTGTGGGGTGAGAAAGGATTCTTGGGCTGGAGCAATAGCACAGCGGGGAGGGCGTTTGCTTGCACGCAATCAACCCGGGTTCGATCCCCAGCATCCCATATGGTCCCCCGAACACCACCAGGAGTAATTTCTGAGTACAGAGCCAGGAGTGTTACCTCTGTGCATTGTCAGGTGTGACCCAAAAGAAAAAAAAAAGATAGAAAGGACTCTTAAGATGAAGTTATTATGCAGCTTATGGCCTCTAAACAGAGTCCCTATTTCTTTCAAATTGCCTTTTCATTTTGCTGCTTGATTGTGTGTTCGAGGTACTTGGCATGTAGATGCTAGTATGGGGAGCTGTGACCCACTGTGCTCAGGGGCCATTCCTGGCTCTGTGCTCAGAAGTGACTCCCAGCAGTGTTTGGCGAACTCTCTGTGTATGACCTGGCATCTGAACCAGGGTTAACCACCTCCCAGACAAGCACCTAACCACCCTGTACTACCCCTCTGGCCTGAACCCAACACCGTAAGATTATTCTGCTTGGAGATAGTTCTAAGAAGTCACATTGCCCTAAAATGAGCCCAGCGTTAGGGAAGATGGAGAAGCGTAGGAGCCAGGATCAAGCCAGCCTTCACTTGCATCCAGCTCAGCTGAGGGTTGTTCCCTCTAGTCCCTCTCGCCTGCTGAACAGGGGAGTGGCCCACAAGAAGGTAGCAAGAGGGAGGAGGATATTAATGAACATTTATTAGATACTAGTTATGTGACAGGTAGCACAGAACTTTGGGTAGTGATGTCACTGCACAGTCACAAGAACTCTGGAGGTGGGAATCAGTTCACTGCTGAGATGAAAGAGCCCCCGAGAGGAGGCGGCAACGTGCCTGCCACTCTGGGCCAGCAGTCAGCCCCAGTGATACCTTGACCCTGGCGCTCAGCCTTACACCCAGTGTTTTAGGTTAAATGGCCTCACCCAGAGTTTAACAGATGTTGACACACAGTGAGTCCCTGGATAAGCCGTCACGGTCACGGTCCTCCCATTGTTCATCGATTTGCTCGAGCAGGCCCAGTAACATCTCCATCGTGAGACTTCTTGTGTTTGGCATATCCAATACATCACGGGGAGCTTGCCAGGCTTTGCCGTGCGGGCGAGATACTCTCAGTAGCTTGCCGGGCTCTCCGAGAAGGGTGGAGGAATCGAACTCGGGTTGGCCATGTTGGCTGCCTACAAGGCAAACGCCCTACGCTGTGCCATCACTCCAGCCCAGGACAAGCCGTACCTCAGGGAAAGACTGAGTTTAGCAAAATGAGACAGTTGGCCTCAGCACTGAGTTTCGCAAAGCCTTCACTGGGCGAATATAACGTGTACTCCCTCACAGCAGAGTAGCTGTGTTTTCTGACATTGGTCATGTAAACTTTTCCCATGCATGAACTATTAGGATTCCTGCCCCATAGGTTCACTTTGGGGAAACCCTGCATTAAAATGACTCTGAAAAAGAGATGAGAGGAAAGGCATTTTTCACCTGGGAGAAAACCAATATGACTGAAAAGCATATGAAAAGAGAACTTTTATGTATTTGTTTTGGCTTTTTGGAGCACACCCGGTGATGCTCAGGGGTTACTCCTGGTTCTGCACTCAAGAATTACTCCTGGCGGTGCTGAAGGGACCCTGTGGGATGCTGGAGATTGGATCCAGGTCAGCCACATACATGGCAAACACCCTCCCCACTGTACTGTCATTCTAGCCCCGAAAAGAGGATTAACTGTATTAGCAATTCGAGAAATGCAGAGCAAACCCACAGTTCCATTGGCAAAACTAACCCCAAATTTCCTGAGTCGTGGGGAGGGGGACGGGTAGGTCAGTGAGGTCTGCATATATTTCGGGTGAAGGCAGGAGTTGGCTTACCCTTCTGGAAAGCCTCTGGACACTCTGTCCCCATGTGGCCCAGCAGTTCCGCTCACAGGCGGCGACTTAGAGTAAGTCTTGCTGATGCATCAGGAGACACCTTCAGACATGCTCCCAGCATCGCCTTTCTCAGTAGCAGCACTGACAGGTGACCCTGGAAGCCCTCAGCATTGGAGTGGGAAAGTTGAAGTCTAGGCCCAGATCTCCATCCAGTCAGACGGGTGAACAACACTAAAATAACAACCGTATGGAGGAACCTCAAAAAGATAAAACCTGTTTAGAATGTGAGGTGGTCGATAAGAGACTCACTTCCGCTGAAGGCGGTTCCTGTAATTGTCCGCCAAGGGGAGGGATGTCTGTCGCCTGGATTCTCTCCGTGGCACTGTCAGCTCTTCGTGGAGGATATGTCGGGCACTCCCTGGGAGGTGAAGTTGCCTTGTTGGGACATTCCCAGCTGAGACTCTCCCGAAGGGGGGCCGAGCCTCAAGCCTTCCCAAGGACGTTTTCCTGGCCAGAGGTCAGGCCTATGGACGCCGCATCTGAGCTGGCGCTGGCCTGAGGTTTCCATTCCAGTTGGATACTCATCAGAAGAAAAGGGTCCTGAAGAAAGATTCATGGTTCCTGGACCATACAAGTTTAGGGCTGGAAGGAGACTTCCGCCCCAGAGGGGCCGGGAGAGGTGTTGACCTGCTCTGGGCACTCCCCTTTGGGACCTAGCCTCAGAGGTCAGCGGTGCGACCCCTGCAGCCAACAACATGCATCCTGAGTAGGCAGAAAGGAGGGAGCAAGCAGGCCCCTCTGCCAGGGAGGCACTTACTCTGTCCTTACCTGTAGCCCATCGGAGTGTGGTTTTCTTGCTTTCCACTGACTTTGGCTCTGTTTTGTTTTATTTTTTTTGGGGGGGGGGTCAAGGAACTTCACCTACTGGTGTCAGGGTGTCAGGGGACTACTTCTGGTGATGCTGCGGGGCTCAGCAGGTGCCATGGATTAAACCCAGGCCCCCATATGCAAAACATGTGCTCCACCCTCTCAGTGCTCCTTCCCAGCCTGGTCTGGGCTCTGGGTTGCCTAAAAGGACACATGCTGACTTCCTTTTGCCGATAGCAAGATTCAACAGTCTGGTGGTCAGGACCTTAAAAATAGAATGCAGCAGGAAGTTCAGAAGACACCCTCCCCTCGCCCCCCTCCCCCCACACACACACAACACATGCTTCTCCATCCCCCTTCTCTTTTCTAAATGCGCCTTTCCCCAGACGTCTTTGTCTTTTCCCCTTTTAACAAACGAGCCAGTTGTGGGAAGGGACAAGTGAAGCCCCATTTGACTAGACTGGTCCTCCTTGTCCCCATTGCGGGGTAGAGCTGGTACTGGGACAGATCAGCACCCCAAACAACTGGTGTTCTCCACTGAAATTGCTGGCTATGCTTTTTGGACCCAGAATTTATGTTTGCTTAGATGCCAGTTTACCTGAGGGCTTCACTCCCATGCCCCTCCCCCTGTGCCCTGGTTTTCTCCCATTCATCTCTTTTTCTTTTCCTTTAGACCAATGAGGCGAGCTCAGAGTCGATAGCATCCTTCTCGAAGCCGGAGATCATGAGTAGCTTTCTGCCAGAGAGGGGGTGTTATGAGCTACTCACCGTCATAGGTAATGCCCAGGGCACCACCCCCGCTTTTTTGGTTCCCCTCCCCCCCCCCAGGAATGTGGGCCAGAAGCTAGTTCTTAGTTCATGGAGGCCTCACACTTACCTTGGCACTTTGTTTTCCACCAACCCCGCTTTGGTGATCCTTTTTTCACCGGAATCCCAAAGAGGAGAGTGTTCAAAGCCCCCTTGGCACTTCTGGTCGTGCTAGGACTTGAACTCTCAGCCCTGTGCTTTCTTTGGCAACTTCCCCCATTCCCTTCACTTTGTTGCTGTTGTGAGGTGGGGGCAGGGTGGCGGGATGGGGGGGGGTGCAGTGTTTGCACAAAGCTGCACAGCAGAGATTGTGCCCGGGGTCCCGGACAGCAAAGGTGACAAAACTCCACCTGGCACATGCAGGTGACACCAGGAATTGAATTCCTGGCTTCAGGCTTGCAGATCAGGTGCTTTTGTTTTCATCAGGACGACAGTCAGCAGAGCTGATGGACAGGGCCAGGGCGCTACTGGAAATAACTTGGCATAACAGAGCAGGCCTGGGCAGGGGTGGTGAGTGCTGCCAGGCTGGTGGTGTTCTGGGATTGTGAATCTCACAGCCAGCAGGACTGGGGCCACTGCTGGGATGCATCAAGGCCTCACACAACGAGGCACGCAAGGCCGGCACTCTTTTGCCTTTTTAAATCAAATTTTCTTAAAAGAAGGCAAAAGGCTTTGCCAGTAATGCCACGTAAACTCTCGTATGTGGGGGGCATTTCTCTTTTCTTGTAGGCAAAGGCTTTGAGGACCTAATGACAGTGAATCTAGCAAGGTATAAACCAACGGAGGAGTATGTGACAGTACGAAGGATTAACCTGGAGGCTTGTTCCAACGAGATGGTGACGTTCCTGCAGGTAAGAAATGTGAGCTTGGGCCCCAGTGATGAGACAGCAGGTAGGGCATTTGCCTTGCATGCAGCTGACCCGGGTTCGATCCCCAGCATCCTACAGGTCTCTTGAGCCAAGACCCTCCTGGAGTGATCACTGAGCATCGCCAGGTGTGGCCTAAAACCAACCAAACAAAAAACAGCGAGCACAACACTGGAGTCTGCTTTGCTCCGGCAGGGCCGACAGGGCACACCTTACTCTCAGGGTCCTCTTGAGAGTGGGCTGGATGCTGTCAGTGAGAAGCTTGGGTGTCTGTGGACTGTAAGGCTGCTCAGCCCAATGTATATTCCCTGTCATCGTCACTTTTTTTTTTATTTTTATAGTTGTTCACAGTGCTTTATTACATTCAATATCCCAACACCAGTCCCATCACCATTACACCTTCCCACCACCATTATTTCCAATTTTCCCAACCACCACCCAAGCCTGCCCCAATAGCAGGCCTTAAAGGATCTTTTGTATTGCTTGTTATGATTAATTTGCTAAAAATGCTCAAAAAAGATTTCCTTAAAAGAAAGCACGTGAAGGGGGTTGGAGCAATAACACAGCGGGTAGGGCGTTTGCCTTGCATGTGGCCGAGCGGGTTTGATTCCCAGCATCCCATATGGTCCTTAAGCACCGCCAGGGGTAGTTCCTGAGTGCAGGGCCAGGAGCAACTCTTGAGCATCGGCAGGTATGACCCAAAAAGCAAAAAAAAAAAAAAAAAGTGTGTGAAGATTGTTATATCTCACTCTGGAGCCATTAAGCTCTTGTATGAGATTATTAAGATGTTGTTACCAGGTAAGCCATGTGTGTTAATATTTCCTTAATCAAGATTGCCTTCTACTTTCATCCCATCCAATGTGGTGTGCTACTCCTGGCGTACGAGTGGTATAGAGTATGAGGTGTCCTGGCTGCGAAATTTTGCTAGGGTGGTAGAGCTGGGGTTAATGGCCCATCTCTCCACGTGCTAGCTGTTCCGAGAGGCTTTGTCACTTGCTGGTGGTTTGAGGCCAGGTTCATAGCCAGGCAGTTCCCGTTGCGTACAGCCTGCCGCACCCTCGGCTGCTGGCAGCGGGCCTCAAACTCCTGTCCCGTCTGCCCATGGTTCCTTTCTGTTGCTGCTCCATTCGTGTTCCACGGATGCAGCCTTGGGCCTCGCAAAGGGGAGCTGGATTCCTCTGTGTTGACAAGGACTCGCCCAGGGTCCTATGAGACTGGGATACTCAGGCCCCATCCCCTTCTTTAACTCCAGTGTTTGGGTGGATCTGGGCTCCCCAGAGGGTGCTCGCATACCAGCTCTTGTATTCTGAGTTGTCCATCTGTCAAGGGTGAAACAGGAAATGAGTTTTCTTAGTTCTTCGGGAAGAAGCTTGTCTGGAGCATCTGAATTTGCTCTAGTTCATGCTGGACTTGAGGATTTTTTCCTTTTCATCCCAGAGAAAAGGTACTGCCTATGTGGCCTTCGCTCATGTCCCCTTTTTTCCAGACTGTGGAGTTTCTGTAGATTTTTTTGGTGTGGGGAGCTTCTTTTGTTTGTTTTGGAGGATCGTACCCAACTGTACATGGGGCTTATCCTAGCTTATGCTAGAGCAACACAAGCCAGGATTATGGTACTTGATGATCCAAGTGGTGCCGGGAATCGAACCTGGGCCTCATACGTGCCAGGTACTCCAGTGCTTTACCTCCAGGCTGCCTCCCCAATCCCTCTGTGGTTCTTTTGTCCAGTTTTTCTTTCCTACCTCCTCTGTCTGCCCCACGTTTCCCTTCTGTGTATTTGCTCCTGAGGGAGGATTCTCAGTCTCTAGCGGCAGGAGAAATACCTTTGCGTGGTTACTAGTTACCACGCTTTCTTTAACCCTTTCTCATTTCTGTTGACGCTTTTCCCTTCTTCCGGGTAGAGCTGTGCTGTGGCCCCTGAAACTGAACTCAGCCTGTCTCTTGATGAGTCCTCTGTCTACAGTTTGTTTTCCTCATCCCCAAGGAGGCCTGGAGCTTATCAGCGGTTTCTGTGTTTGATGGTGGTGGTGATGGTGGGGGGGGGGGGGTGTTGTTTCTTTTGTTTCTTTGTTTTGGTTTGTTTTGGGGTCACACCCAGCGGTGCTCAGGGCTTACTCCCGATGCTGCACTCAGGAGTTACTCCTGAGGGTGCTTGGCGGACCATTGGGGATGGCGGGAGGGGAGAGGGGAGTCAGCCAAACACAGGCTGGCGCCCTCCCCACTGTGCCAGGCTCTGGCCCCCTGGGGGGTTGTTTCTCGCTCAGCGCAGGCTCCCCATTGGCGGTGGCGGCTCCCCGGTTGCTCTGGCTGCCATGCATGTGTGGAGCCCCTTGACTCTGACTCCAGCGTCGCTTTCAGGGGGAGCTGCATGTCTCTAAGCTCTTCAGTCACCCCAACATCCTCCCGTACCGAGCCACCTTCATCGCTGACAACGAGCTGTGGGTGGTGACCTCATTCGTGGCCTATGGTGAGTGGGGCAGGGAGGGGGGGCGAGTGCTTAGCGGGTCCTTGCCCTGCTCTGCCTGCCCTGTTGCCTCACCATCCTGTCATTCAGGTTCTGCCAAGGATCTCATCTGCTCGCACTTCATGGACGGCATGAGTGAGCTGGCCATCGCCTACATCCTGCAGGGGGCGCTCAAGGCCCTAGACTACGTCCACCACATGGGCTACGTTCACAGGTGCTGTCCAGGGCCTACCCAAGCCCAGCCGGGGTCTGTCTGAGGGACCTCCAAGACTCCGCCCCAGTGGGCCACACTGTTATCCTTCCGAGTGTCTCCAGAGTGAGCAGTGTGGTCCTCACACGAACCGCTAGCCTTGCCACACCCCCTTTCTTCCTTTCTTGAGGCGTTTAGAGTGGGGGCCCCAGAGTCGGCCCAAGGCTGGGGGACAAGACAGATGAGGAGGGGCTTGCATGCTCCACTCAGAGCTGGGCCCATCCCTGGGGTGGATGGCCTCGGGCCATTGGTGCAGAGGCAGCCTTGTAGAAGGGATTGAGGGTTGCTGAGCCATAGGGAACTGTCCAAATGTTCTAGAAGCACCAGGCAGGGTGCTGGAGCCATCCCACAGCAGGCAGGGCATTTGCCTTTCAAGCAGCTCAGGTTCGATCCCCGGCACCCCATATGGCCCTCTGAGCCTGCAGGAGTAATTCCCAAGTTCAGAGCCAAGTGTAGCTCCTGAGTATTGCTGGGTGTGGCCCCCAAACAAACAAAAAATACCAGATACAGCAGAAAATGGATGGGTTTGACTAAGATTAAGACTATAAATATAGATACATAACATCATATGTAAATATATAATTATAGATACAATAAGATTATGTCAAGATAAAAGATTTTTCTTCAATAAAGGACTATAGCAAATTAAGCACTGGGTGACAGCAGGGGTGAGATTAGCTTTGTTCAAACTACAGAGGAGATGGGAACAAGGAGATCATGTGAATCACCAGGAAAAGAAACAAAGAAGCAATAGAGAAGGAGCAGAAGATAAGGAGTTTATAGAAGGGGAAGTACAAGGCACTGGCAGACTTGTGCGCAGCCATATCAAGTGGTAGAAAAGCATGTTAAGCTAGGATATCACGAGAGGGGAGATAAGGGGCATGGTGGGATGAGTGCAGGATGAACCCAGGGCCCATATCCTTAGGCATCACCAAGAGTGACCCTTGAGGTGTGACACTCCCTCCTCCCTAAGACAACAGAATTGGATGCCACACTGGCAGTGACCTGCTGGGCTTCCTATCTGCATAGGAAGGGGGGCTCCTCAGCTGTAGCTCGGGGTGACACCAACCCAGGACCCTGGATGCTGCCTCGCGGTGTGCACCCCAAAGACACTGTCTCATGGGCCCATCGGGGACGTGTGTGTGAGTGTCATGGTTCACGGCCGTGGTGGTTAGTGGCTGCGTTCCTGGAGGGATCTGTGAGAAAGTGTCAGAGCCACCCCAGGGCCCAGGGGCCACTGAGAGGCACTAGAGAGGTGGCCACAGCTGCTCCGGCGCTGCCTAGGATGAAAATGGACCAGCGGGGGCCAGAGCACGCTCCCCAGACACACTTGCATACGCGACAGTGGCACGTTTCACCCTCAAGGGAAAGGGATAGAGTGACAATGGGTGGCAGGGGAAGCAGTGGTGTGTGAGCATAAAAGAGAACCAAGCAGAACGAGGCAGAGGTGGGGCGGGGAGGCGCACACCAAGCAATGCTCAGGACTTACTCCAGGCTCTGTGCTCTGGGATCACATCTGGAGGGGCTCAGAGGACCATATGTGGTCCTGGGGATCGAACCCTGGTTGGCTGTATGCACGGCAAGTACCTAACCCACTTTACCATCACTCTAGCCCCCAGAACAAAGTTTTTAATATGACACATAAGCCAGGTCCCGCTAGTTTTCTTGGTCTTTGCAAGTTTTGTAGCTCTTCCCATGTAGCGGGTCCACGCACATTGAAGTACACAGACCCTGCCGAGGGGTGAGAGGGACTGGCTCTAGCATGTGAGAACTGTGCTCGTGACCGCCCCCACCCCCCGCCTCCAACCCCAGGAGTGTCAAAGCCAGCCATATCCTGATCTCCGCGGACGGGAAGGTCTACCTCTCCGGCTTACGCAGCAACCTCAGCATGATCAGCCACGGGCAGCGCCAGAAGGTGGTGCACGACTTTCCCAAGTACAGTATCAAGGTCCTGCCCTGGCTCAGCCCAGAAGTCCTGCAGCAGGTCAGTTTCTGGGGACCCGCAGAGCCTCCCAGGCTGACCAGGGCTTGGAGGGTGGGGGAGGGGGCTTCTGCGGGCAGATGATGAAAGATGCCTGGTGTCCCCGAAGGCAGCGGCCCCCCTGCCCGCTGGCTGCAGTGGTGGTGGCCGTGACAGAGACCCCACAGCTGGCCCCGACTCAGGAAGGCTTCCTTCTCCCCACCTCAGTCTCTGCGCCACGCGCTTCACCAGCAGTGCAGCGGGCAGAATGTGATCTCTGCCCTTCTCCTTCTGACTTAGAATCTGCAGGGTTACGATGCCAAGTCCGACATCTACAGCGTGGGGATCACAGCGTGCGAGCTGGCCAACGGCCACGTTCCCTTTAAGGACATGCCCCCCACCCAGGTGAGCCCACGCCACAAACATCATTCTTCTCCAGGGCGCTGAGGTGAGAGCGAGACTTTTCCTTGAGGGGTCTCCTACGGCGCTTGGGCACCATTGTGGTCTGATGTCATGGCTTCCTTCTCTGTGCCGGCTGCAGGAGGCGGTGGGGGCCTCCTCGCCACGGGCCTGTGTGAAATGGGCTGTCAAGCTTGCCCAGCTGCAGTATTTAAGGTCTCACTGTGTCCTCCCGCCTCCCAGCTAGCCCCTAATGTCTTATGCTTAGCTTTCTCAGGTTCTGCGCTGCCACTGTCTGGTGCAGCCATCTGGGCATCTCTGACCTGCAGCTTCTATGTCCATACAGATGCCCACGTGCCTGGCGCCACAATCCCAGGGAAGAAGGCCTTACCTAGCAAGTGGCCTGGTGTCATTAGGCTAAGGATGCACTGAGTCCCAGCTGCCAGGAACTGAGCCTAGAACCCAGAAGGGAGTGGGAACCAGGGGCCCAGACCCGGGGTGAACCTTTCCCTACACTATCACAGTTGTGGGCCTGAGGAAGTGACCCCAGGAAGGCTTCTTAGAGGAGGTGGCATGAGGCTTGCAGGTAAATAGGAGCCATGAGAAGAGAAGGAACTGGAAGGGGGCTCCGAGCCAGCGACAGAAATAATGCCAAAACCAGAGCCCAGAGAGTGCGGCCAGGGTAGAATAGTGCCTTGTTTAGGGCACATGGTGCCTGACCAGTTCAGTCCCGGCCATCGACAGGTGTCACCTTTGAGGCCAGGCCTCCAGCAGCACCTCGGCTGCTGGGACTCCCACACCACAGGGCCCAAGCAGGACCCTACCCTCGGACTTTTGCATTGAAGCATTGATTGAAAAGCGCCAGGGGCATCCCTGGTGGACCTCCTGCTTGGGAATGGGCCGACAGGGCCTCATGATGGTCAGCGCGGATGGCACTCGCCTTGCATATGGCCAACCTGGGTTCAATGCCCATCACCCCAGAGGGCCCCCTGAGCCCACCAGAAGTGAGTACTGAGCCAGGAGTAAGCTCCGAGCACTGGGGATGTGGTCCTGAAACTAAACCAATCAACCCAGAAAAGGACCAGGATTGGGGAGAGAAAGTGGTTGGGAGCAGCTGATCCAGGCCTGGGGGTCTGCCATGAGGGGCCGCAGTGGACCCGCGAAGGCTACTCTAGCCGGGGGCTCGGTCTCGGAGACAGGTCAGGAGGGCATGGACGTCTAGGAGAGGAATCTAGGGATTGGGTAAAAATCGAGAATAAAAGTAAAAATCTAGGGACAGAAAGACGCCCACAGAGGTGACTTGGAGGTGAATGGGAGGGTCAGCTGGACCCCCTGTAGCAGCAGTAGAACCTCAGAGATGAGGGAAAGGTCCAGATCCTCCCTGTTCATTGTAGTCACTGGCTGCCCGCGGCTTGTGAGCACTTATAGTATGTGTGGCCAGTGGGGGACCAGAGAGACAGCACAAAGGGTGGGGGCACATGCTGAACTCTTGACGACACGGTCCCTGCCAGCACTGTCAGGAGTGATCCCTGAGCATCGCTGGGTATGGTCCTGAAACAGAAAAACACCTAAAAATATGCTCAGTGCAATGTGGAACTGAATTTTGGAACATGATTTTTAGTTCATTTAGATGGAACCAGGCCTGGGGGGCTAGTGGCTGCCACATGGGTGCAGCTCTGGGGAGTTCCAGGGTGGACATACTGCTCAGGTCAGCCCTGTGGATTCCCCAGGGTGGGACTCTGGCAACAGGTGGGGTCTGAGGACTGTCCCTCCAGAAAGTGACTGGTGCCTTCACCCCCGAAGAGCCTGGTACCTGAGCCCCGCCTCGCAGCCATGGCGAAGGGCTTCTTATTTTACTTATTTATTTTTTTAGTCACTATGAAATTACTGGTGGGTTTCAGGCATACAGTTAGGTTACACCACCACTCACTTCACCACTGCCTACTCCCTCCACCAATGTCCCCACCCAGTTTGCCTCACTCCCACCAGTCTGCTGCCAGGGGTGTTTCCTCTCTCCTCTCCTCCCCCTCATCTATTCTCTCTTTTTTTTTCTTTTTGGGTCACACCTGGTGATGCATAGGGGTTACTCCTGGCTCATGCACTCAGAAATCACTCCTGGTGGTGCTCAAGGGACCATATGGGATGCTGGGGATCGAACCCAGGTCGGCCGCATGCAAGGCAAATGCCCTCCCCGCTGTACTATCACTCCAGTCCCCCTCAAGTTTTTGCACTGTGGTTTACATCACTGTTGCCAGTAGGGTTTCGTATATACGTGATGCTTTACCGCATTGCAGCGCCCCTTCCTCCTCCTAGTTGGACGCTTCCCTGCTTCCCCCCACCAAGTACACTGCCCCCCCCTTCCTGTCCTCTAGCCACCTCAGGTGACATGCTTCCTACTGAAGACCAGTTCTTGTGTTCCTTGTTTCCATTGTCTCCGGGCATTCGTTATTCGTTTCTTATACTCCTCATACGAGAGATCATTCAGTGTCCAGCTCTCTCCCCCTGACTAACTTCACTCAGCGTGAGACTCTGGGGCTCAAAGAGGGGCTCTTTTCTTCTTTTTTTTTTTTGGTTGCATCCGGTGATGCACAGGGGTTACTCCTCGCTTTGCACTCAGGAATTACTCCTGGCAGTGCTCGGGGGACCATAAGGGATGCTGGGAATCGAATCTGGGTTGGCCGTGTGCAAGGCAAACACCCTATCTGCCGTGCTATCACTCCAGCCTCTCGAAAGGGGCTCTTGTGTGAGGGGTCGGCCGCTGAGCCAGAACTCCCACTTGGGCATCCTCCACACCTTTTGCCCCCGTCACGTGGGAAGGGGGCTGGGGAGCGCCCAGGGACATCAGCGGTGGTGGTGCCTGGCCCTTGCAGATGCTGCTGGAGAAGCTGAATGGCACGGTGCCCTGCCTGCTGGACACCAGCACCATCCCCGCTGAGGAGCTGACCATGAGCACCTCGCGCTCCGCCGCCAACTCGGCCCTCAGCGACAGCCTGGCCACCAGCACCCCCCGGACCTCCAACGGCGACTCGCCCTCCCACCCCTATCACCGCACCTTCTCCCCCCACTTCCACCATTTTGTGGAGCAGTGCCTTCAGCGCGACCCCGACGTGAGGTATGTGGCCGGCGGGTGGGGTGGCTGCCGGGGCTGTGCTGGGGGTAGGGGTGTGTGTGCAGGACTGACGGGCTCGCTTTCCTCTTCCTCCCCAGACCGAGTGCCAGCAGCCTCCTGAACCATTCTTTCTTCAAGCAGGTATATGTGCACATTCCCTTCTTCCAGGTGGGGGGAACTTAGTTCTAGCTCCCCCCCAACCCCCCATTAGCTCTGGGGTCGGGACCATCTTCCCGCAGAGCAATGTGTCAGGGAAGCCCCTGGGGATGCCGCTCCTCACGTGCACAGACCCCAGCTTTGTCCCTCACGTCCCTGGGCCCTGATTCCCAATTTGGGCGGCAGCCGTGCCCCTCCCCCCGCCAACCCTCTTCCCTCCCCCAGATCAAGCGGCGTGCCTCAGAGGCCCTGCCCGAGCTCCTCCGGCCCGTCACCCCCATCACCAGCTTCGAGGGCAGCCGGTGCCAGGACCACGGCAGCATCTTCGGCCTGGTAGCAAACCTGGAGGACCTGGAGCTGGGCGACTGGGAGTTCTGAGCCTCGGAGGTCCCAGTACCTGTCCGGCCCGGCCGGGACTCCTGGGGGCTGTGCCCCCCCCCCCTCCGCCCCACCCTTTTGGGCACCCAGAGCCAGGAGAAGGACCTGCGGGGAGAGACTTTCATTGATCAAGGCTTCAAGACTCTGGGGAATTCCAATTCCCAGAGCTCCCGAGAGCCTGGGAGGCCGACACCCCCCAAAGTGAGAGTGGGGGTGCCTCGCAGAGGGAGAACAGCTCTTCTGGTCCTGCCTGTCCCCTCTCCCGGCCCAAGCTTCCTTGTCCCTCTGCGCAGCTCCCCAGGCCCCGAGGATCCCACCAGCAGCTGTCCCCCCACCCCCCACCAGGCTGAGCACCAGGCTGAGACCCGAGACCGGGATCGTCCATCCTCACCCCTCCACCACGTCCCACTTGGGCCCTGATCCCCTCCACACTCCAGACAGTTCCATGTGGCTGGTTCCTCCCCTCAGGAGCCTCCCAGCGCCCCGCCTGCCCCTGGTGCTCTCTCCACAGGCCTTGCCCAGGATTTCAATCTCAAGCCGAATGTTTCATTGCCAGAACAAATTAAAATTTTCAGAGAAGCCATTGGAACGTGATTTTATTGTGAGTTGTCACCGGCTCCTGAGCCCTATGTGGGGTTCTGCTAGTGTGTGCCCCCCGCCCCATGCCAGTGGCGGCTGAAACAGTGACTGACCCCTGCCATTCGATGATCTCCTCTGAAAACCAAGAAATTTGTCACTGAGTACATTTTGGAGTTAATTTTAGCCTCAAACCCTGTTGAGGCCAGAAAGGTCTGAGGGCTGGAGCCCAACCCCTCCACAGCGCACTCCTCGATCACCCAGAGCCGGGCAGCTGCCCCCATCTGGCAGGGACCCCTTGCAGGTGGTGGTTTCAGAACACAGGGGCAGTGTCTCCTGTTGCTGGAAGGAAATGCAGAGAACAAAGCTGCCCTCTCCCCTTCGTCTCACACCTGGAGGCCAGTGAGCAGACTGGGAAGGGAGGGTCGCCACTGTCCCCTCTCCTTGCTCCAGCTGGTGTTCCCCCTGCCAACCCACAGGGGGAAGGCTCAGGGAAGAGTCTTCCTCTGCCCCAAACTGCTGTGCGCCTCCTCCCCTCCCTCTGCCCTTCAGGAGCTGTCTTGGGTTTTAAAGAAGACATGCAAAAAGGATTACGGCAAGGCTGGGAGGCGGGGAAGGTCCTGTCACATTTCTTTCCAATTCCGCCCTGCCCCCTGCCCGGTTCACTTTTTTTCTTCTTCTTCTTCTTCCAAACCTCAAGTTCCCTTTTCTTCACACCCATTGGCCTGTTTGCTTTCCTCCCCAAACTGCCGCCTTCACGTCGCCCTCAGTGGTCGCTGCAGGAGATGCCCTGAGTGTGCACCCGCAGCTCGAACCTGTACTCCGTCCCATCCGAGGCCGGCTGAGCCTGGAGCGGCCTGCAGGGGTGCAGACACGGGCGCTGCGGGAGTCGGGGTGGGCGGGACACGTGGGGGGGGGGGGGGGCGGCAGCCTGCTGTCTCCCCGCTCCCGCCAGGCTCCAGCTGAGCTGTTCTGTTCCCTGACAGTGTGTGGGCGCCCGCTCCTATTCCTGCCGCGAGTGGGAACAAGCTATGTTTAGGGCTGCGCGTCGTGAGCAGAGCCCGGGTCGCCAGCACCGCGCCGGCCCTCCGTGCGTCCCCATCCCGCGCTCGGACAAGTTAGGGCGCTCCTGGCAGGAGGCCTCTTTCCCTGCAGGGGGTGCCCCTGACTTTGACCACGGTGCCCTCGGAGACCAGGGGTGACCGGCTGTAAAGTCCCGCCCCAGCTTTCCCGGGGCCGTCTGCCTCGGAGGCTCAGACGCGCTGCCAGAAGCCGGGTCCTTCGGGGTCGCAGGACAAGGCGCTGGCGGGCGTCAACCCTGGGGCTCCCGGGCCTCGGGGTGCGGGGCGACAGGCCTCGCGCAGGGACCTGTCCTCTTCCTGGACTACAGGGGCCCGCGTCTTCGAGGACTAACGGGTAAACTGAGGCCGCGGAAGGCCCAGGAGTCCCAGTTAGCCTCTGGGGCGGCCCCCACACACACACTCGGGCCCCGGCTCGGTGCGGGGCCTCGAGGCGCGAGGCGGGGAGCGTGGGGTCGGCCCGGGGAACAGACAAAGGCGGGGGACCGCGGTGCGAGACAAAGCGCGGAGGGGGCGGTGCCGGGCGCCCGGAGCCAATGGGCGGGCGCGGGCCGGGCCGGGGGCGGGGCCGAGCGCCCGGAGCCAATGGGCAGGCGCGGGCCGGGTCGGGGGCGGGGCCACGATAAGGCGGTGGCGGCGGCGCGGCGCGGGGACTCTAGGCGGCGGCGGCTGCTCGCGCCCGCGCCCTCCTCGCACCCGAGCGCCCCCCGAGAGCGACCCCCGCCCCCAGGCCCAGGCCCAGGCCCGGTGAGACCCGCGGGCGGCCGGGAGGAGGGACCCGCAGGAGTGCCGAGCTGGAGGGCTGCGGGGCGCCGCCCGCGGGGTCCCAACGCCTAACGCCGTCGCCCGTAGCTCCCGCGCGGGGCCCCTGGGCCGGAGCCGGGCCGCGGGGGTCCCGGCGCGGCGGGCCGGGAGCCGCGGGGTCCTCGTCGCGACGGCTGCGCGCAGCCCTCTCCCCAGCGGCTGCCGCTGACGCTGAGCTCGCGGCACCCTCGGGGACCCCCGCCCCTCGGGGCGCAGCTTGGGGGGGGGCGAGAGAACGGGGAGATGGGTGAGGGGCGGAAGTGGCAAGATCAAGAGCAACAGGAAATGACTTAGGGAAAGTCCCAACCGCAGCCCCCAGCCCCTGCTCGTAAACACCCCCACCCCCACCCTGCACGCCGAGCGGGCCGAGCGCCTCCCGACTGACTTCCCTTTGCAGAACCTAGCGGGTGCCGTGTCTCCTCCCGGGGCCTCCATCGCCGCCCGAGGGCCATGTTCCAGGCTGCAGGAGCCGCCCAGGCGACCCCTTCTCATGTAGGTGACCGGTCGGTGGGAGGGGCCACCCCCTGCAGGTGTCTGGGTCTGGGGGCGGGGGGAGGGAGAGCCGTGCGTGCTGTTGACAAAGGGCAGAAGGGCAGCGACTTGGCCTGTCACCTTTGCTCTCTGGCATGGGGGCTGGTGGCTGCAGAGGTCTGGGGCACTTTGCACCGCTGGGCTGACACTGAGCCACCGTCTTCCGCAGGAAACCAAAGGGAGTGGCGGGGGCAGCACTGTCCAGCGGTCCAAGGTAGGGGTTCGCGGCTGGGCTGGAGGGGTCGGGAGGGGGGATGGGTCCCCGCAGGCCCGGGCTGAGTGTTCCCCCACCCCTCCGCCCCCTTACAGTCCTTCAGCCTCCGCGCCCAGGTGAAGGAGACCTGTGCCGCCTGCCAGAAGACCGTGTACCCCATGGAGCGGCTGGTGGCCGACAAGCTCATCTTCCACAACTCCTGCTTCTGCTGCAAGCACTGTCGCACCAAGCTGAGGTGCGCCCCACCCTGCCACCCTGCCTGTCCTGCCCTGCCCCGCTTGGTCCCCTCCTGCCCTGCCCTGCCCTGCCCTGCCCTGCACGTAGCTCTTCTGCTTCTGCAGCCTGGGCAGCTACGCAGCTCTGCACGGAGAATTCTACTGCAAACCCCACTTCCAGCAGCTGTTTAAGAGCAAAGGCAACTATGATGAAGGCTTTGGCCGGAAGCAGCACAAGGAGCTCTGGGCTCACAAGGAGGTGGACCCTGGCACCAAGACAACCTGAAACCCCTCTGGCCTCCTTGGCGAGAGGGCTTGGAGGGGGGGGCAGTGGGAAGGGTGGGGGAGAGGTTGGAGCTGGGTGCGGGTGGGGGGCAGGGAGGGAAGGGGACCACGTGGCCATCGTGCTCAGGAAGGAGTGGGGGCAGTGCTGGCCGACTCCCTCCCTCTCCACGGTGGGGTGGGTGCGTCTGGGAACCGGGGTTGTGGGTTTGCTCACCCTGCACTTCCTGCCTTTCAGCCCACCCCGCCTCAGCCCATGGCCTCCCCGGAGAGGCCCGCAGCCGAGTCCCTTTCTAGGTGCCTTTTCTCCGGCAAGGAGTCCGCATGCCCCCCTCAGGGTCCCAGCTCCCTCACTGCCCCACGGCTCCCATCTACCTCTGCCCTTAGCCTGCTCCTGAGCCACGGAGACTGCAGGAAGTAGAGCCAGTGCCCAGCGGGAGTGGGGGGCAGCTGGACCGCAGCACCTGCCGCCCCCTCCCCGCAAGCCTAGGCGGCAGGGCGACTTGGGGACCATCTCGCACCTCCGGAGTAAGCAGCAAGTAGGGGCGGATGCTGAAGCACCGCCTGAACCCACAGATTGGCAGGGCTGGTGGCAGCCATGCTGCGCCCCCTCTCCTCCCTCGTTTCTGCCAATTCTGACTGTTGTGATAAAACCCCGTTTTAAAACATGTTTGAATATATCCAGACTCTGTGACCTGATGTGTGTGTGATGAGGGGGGAGGGGCAGAATCCCCCACAGGGAATGTGGGAGCATGGAGTTCATCTCGGGCAGATTTATCGTGATGGGAGTGGGGCTGGCACTGGGTCGTGGCAATTCTAATCAGGCTGGGAAAGTCACGGTGCCCCTCTGCCAGCCAGGTCTCCATTATGTCAGGCCCAAGTGGTTGCATGAGATATGATTGGCCTCAGCCCTGAGCTGGGTAAGACCTCCCCCTCGCACGCCCCACTCTGAGAGTGCCGCTTCAGGTGGGTTTGCACACGGGGTGACACCCAGCTCATGGCCCAGTGGCTGCAGCAGATCTGCCACACCCCATCCTAGGTTCGCAGCCACTTTTCAGTCCTTGTCCCAGCTTAAGGGGGGAAAGCAGCTGTGATCACAAGCTGCTGCTAACAGCTTGTAGGCTCCAGGCTCCACCCCCACCCCTCCCCAGGGGATGTGGGAATATGTATCTGGGTTACCTTGGCCCTGACCCAGCTGTACCATGTTTCCAAACTGCCTGTGGGCTCAGGAGCTGAAGCAAATTACTGAGCCCCCTCACCCCCCCAGAACCCTTGGAAGCCCTCAGGCACGTGGGACAGGATTGGGGGCCGGCCTGTTAGCCTCCGCACTGAGCCCTGCTCAGGGCCCGGGCAACCATAGCAGGTGGACCAGGAGGAGAAACGGTGGCTCCCCCTAGAGGTGCCTAATTCCTGTCCTGCAGGAGAGGGTGAAGAGATGGGGACCCTCTCAATCCTGCCTGATGCCGTGAAGGCTCTGCATCCCCCCAAATCAAGGGCCCTCAGCAGAACTCCTGGGAATGGAGAAGGTTGGGGGGCAGGGGGCACTTCTGAGCCAGCAGAAGACCGGCCCAGTCATCCCAGAGCTCCACTCTTGGAATTTTGTCAAGTTCTCCTTTGAGGGGCCCAAGCTTGCTATCAGGCACTGCACCTGGCCCTCCCAGCAAATAGCTACCCCCCACCCCGAACCAGAAGCACGGCCACAGGACCCCTCAGGTATAAATGATCCCTTTTATTGTAAGTAATGCACAACACTGGCCTGGCTTTGCACTGCAAGCCCTCGGTCAAGATATAGTCAAATAACTATGGCTGCAGGTTCTTCTGCATTATCCACAATTCAGACACAGACAGAGCTGGGGAGGGCTGGGGGTGAGGGCGGGGGGTGGGAACAGGATGGTGGCAAAATGCGGACTGTCCCCAGCGCCTAGCTTGTGGGGGTTGGCTAAGGCCAATACATCCCATGGGAAATGGCAGCATGGCCCTGCTGTAGCAAGCCAGGGGCTGCTAGGAGACAGCCCTTTAGAATCTTTGGGCCCAGGCCATCCTGCACCCACAACTTTTCATCTGGATTATTAAAAAAAAACAATAAATTAAAATTAAGCAACAGCTTGGTCCTGAGGATGCTGAGCCTGCATGTCCACAGTTTTTGGCACACACACAAAAATAAACAGGGCCTTTTGTTTCGCTTTTTGTTTTTGGAGTGTAGTTTGTTGGCTAGCATCACCCACTTTAAAAACATGTTCCCTGTGAGGTAAGACCCGGAGGGGTGGGCTCTGTGAGAGGCTGAACCTGGGACACAGAGTCGTCTCATCTTGTCAGCACTGGCACCTCTAGGGGCCTGGGGGTGGGGGTGTGGGCCCAAGGAGGGTGCTGCCGCCACCAGGCGGAGGGTGGGCAGGCCGAGCTGCCGCCTGGCAGCTTTGGTCAAGATGAGGGGCCATTCCCAAGCTGGAAAGGGCCCAGGCAAGGCTGAGGTGGAGGCAGGAGCCCGCGCTCGCTGTCTTCCAAGGGCATTATGGGGGCCAGGGCTGGAGGGGGGTGGCCCAAGCCCTACTGGCACCAGGCAACATGCGTTTATGCAAAACCAGCTGCTTTCATTTTCTCTTCTCTCTAGAGGCATCCATCACCTGTAACAGTCTAGAACTGATATTTATAAAACCATCAAATATGATCTGAGATATAAATTAACAAGTACAAGGCCTCACATTACATGATGTGAAAAGGCTAAAAACAGCGATAGAAACTACATTCATAAAAGTGCATCGTCAACAGACAACGAAGGCTTTGGCTTGTTCTGGTGCCCATGGGGAAGTGGGCATGGCTGGCAATGAGCTGCCTGGCGCTGATCCCCAGCTCCCTGGAGATGCCCATCCTTGGACACTGGCTTTAACGACAACTCCCAAGGTCGCTGGGTGCCGAGAGGAGAGCTCTAGCAATAGGCACATTTCGGAGGGGAGGGGCCGGAAGAGAAGACCAGCGCCCAGGCTGAGGTAAATAAGGCCGACTCGAAGCTGCTTGGAGATTCTGGCTCCCAGCCCTGCTGCCACTCGTCTCCCGGGAAGGAGCAAGGCAGGAAAAGGCTGGGGCCTCGTGGGGATGGGCAAGGCAGCCAGGGAGGAGCAGAGCTGGCGGATTTGGACAGAGTTGGTGCATCCTCTGAGCGACCCATTCCACCAGGTGAGGAGGGCTTGGGCCCAGCTGGCAACAACTTGTAGACACCTAATACAACCCCTCCTGGCTGTCTCAAATGGCCTTCTCAGGGCGCCAGCCGGGTCGGACACACAACCCCCCACCCCACCCCCCCGCCCCCCACCCCTGTGCTGTCCATCCATCTGCTCCAGGGGAACAGAGGCCACTGCCTTCAGCTCTTGCCAACCCACCTGAACCCACAGGGCACACTAAGTCTCCAGTTTAGAAACTTGAGTACAGCATAAGAGTGACTCCAACTTGTAAAACAGACAATTGCATTGACAAAACTGGGTGTCCCCCTCCGTGGGGGCAGCTCCACATCTTAGGCCCCTGGGTGTGGGGCGGGGTCACCAGGGCAGGCAGGACAGGCGTCCCCTCCCTGAATAAGGCAGCATGACGTTCGCTTCACTTCTCTTTGGTAAAAGACAGGAACTGGCAAAGCTGGCCTCGGGGCTCCAAGGAGAGCACGGCCTGGCCTCTGCCTCCCACTGGCTGCTGGCGGCTGGGTCTGACTTCCGGTTTGGGTGGGCTCAGCCAGTCCCAAGGTGACCTGGTGGTCTCCAGACGTGGGAAGGAGAATCCGAGGAACACTATTCAGACCTCCTGTGGTCCTGGGCCTCCAGATACTTTGGGCTTTGGTGCGGATGACGAGTGTTGGCCACAGCCTCAGGGAGCCTGGGCGCCTGGCACGCTGTTCCGAGCCCGTCCCCACCACACGGAGCTCAGGGCATGAGGCTCCTGGGTCTGGCAGGCTGGGGGCGCCCAGCCTGAGAGGCAACAGCAGAAGGGCACAGACCCACGCCGGCTGGACTGCAGCCCCGAGGTCCACAGCCCTGCCTGGGAGAAGCAGCAATTGGCCAAGCCCACAGCAGCCCCTCGCCTGGGCAGCAGGGGCGGCTGGCAGCACGGCGGCCTCCAGAGCTCAGTACACGAGCTGTGCAAAGTGGTGTGTGAGCAGCTCCTCGGCCGAAGGTCTCTGGCGGGCCTCCACAAAGATGCGCCTCAGGAAGTCCCGGCCATGCTCTGAGATGTGAGAGGGCAGCTGAGGGTTGGTCGGCTGGGTGGCGATCTTGAAAATGGCGGCCATGGCTTCATACTCTGCCCAAGGCGGCTTCTCCGTCAGCATCTCCACCACGGTGCAGCCCAGACTCCTGTGGGGAGAGCACCTTAGCCCCCGCTGGCCTGGGAAAGGAGGGGCCCTCCCCAGCACACACGGAGGGACACCCCCACAGCGGGACCACAGTTTGCTCTGAGACCACAGAGCACAAAAGGGCCCCTGACGGCAGTCGCAGTTTCCCGTCACTGCTGACACTAAGGACTGCAAACTTCACAGGACCAGAACAACACAATTGCACAACAGATCTGCAGGCCAGGGGGTCTGGGCTTGAAGTCGAGCTGCTGGCAGGGACAGTTCCCGGTGAACGCTCTGAGGGATTCGAGAATCTGTCTCCTGGCCCCCCAGTCCCTGCAGAATCTCCCCATTACTGCCACTAGCACGTCTACCTGCCCCACTCACCATCCGCTCTGATCTGCCGCCCCTTATGAGAGCCCTCGAGGTGACCCTGGCCCCCCTGGAAAATCCACGGTAACGTCCCCCAGCAAGAATCCTTAAATTTATCCTTTCTGCACGCAGAAGCAGTTGGGAGATTTGTGCTGTGGCCCAGGGACCGTGACTCAGCCCAGCACAATCGTGTAGTGGGGGGAGAGACGCCCTCCTGTTCTGGGCCTTTAGGAGGCCTTCAGAGCACAAGATGGTGGCGGCAGGGTTAGCGGGAGAAGTCAGGGTGGGTCCTCCTTCCAGGAGCCTAGCGGGCACACGGGATGGTTTTCCAGCCAGGGGCACAGCAGCAGCGCTGGTTAAGCAGGGCTTAACCCGATGGGCCTCTGCTGCCAGTGTGTAGCCTGGGCCATGCAGGAAGTCGGCCACACCCACTTGCCCCCAACCTTGCTGGCAAGAGGAAGTCCTCATGCCATCCGGTCTCAAAGCAAAGCCCCCACAGCTCATTTTTTTTCCTTCATCCCCCCCCCCTTTTTTGGGGGGGGGAGGGGAGGACACACTCAGCCGTGCTCAGGGCTTTCTCCTGGCCTCTGCACTCAGTGATCACTACTGGCAGGGAGGCCACGTGGGGTGCTGGGTATCAAACCAGGGTCACCTGCATGCTAAGCAAGCGCCCTGCCCACTGTCCTATCTAGTCTCTCTTCTCCTCCCCCCAGCTTTTTTTTTTTTTACTTTTTAGGTTACACCCGGCGATGCTCAGGTGTTACTCCTGGCTCTGCACTCAGGAATTACTCCTGCAGTGCTCAGGGGGACCATATTGGATACTGGGAATCAAACCCAGGTTGGCCACATGCAAGGCAAATGCCCTACCCACTGTGTTATCACTTCAGGCCCCCCCCAGCTCATTTTTCAGAGCCACTTCAGCCAGACAGGGAGGGGCCCGGCACTCACCAGACATCGGCCTTCCTGCCATAGCCCTCGCCACTGATCACCTCGGGGCTC